GGAACCGGCTCTATGGCTCCATCCCAGAAGCTCTCTCGACAATTTCACTTGCTTTCCTGTGAGTGAGCACCCTTTCAGGGCATCTCATATTACATTGTGCGAGTCTCGATCGATATATCTCACAGCACATTGTGAAAGCAGTGGTCAGGAGTTGACTTTGCCGTACCGTATCGCTTTGCTTATCCAAGGCCTGACACATACACATACACACATACACATACACATACACATTCACATACACATACACGTACACATACACATACACATACACATACACATACACATACACATACACATACACAACACTACACTGCAGCAGAATGTTCAGTTCAGCGTCAGTTGTGTTCGGGCTACGAGCACACACCACATGCTCTCATTTCTGTGAGGAGAGGACACTGCTCCTGAAGGGCTGCATGCAGTTGCTTGCCCTTGAGCCAATGCCTCCACTCCACTCCACTCCCCTGATCACTCTCGAACCGTCCTTCGTATCAATGCGGGGGTTGTTACATCACATGCAACGGGCAGCAAGAAAACGTTGTCCGCTAAACAGAAATCCACGTCAAACATCTCCCGACAACCACTCAAACCCACTCCAAGCTCTAGAGAAAAGCCTAATGATGTGTAGCTGCCAAGGGATTATTGGAGCCTAATGGTGTGCCACGTCGATCCCAGGCTCTCCCAGTCCTTGCCTTGACATGGAGTGCGGTTCCTCGGTTATTTCTTGGAAGCATCTCTGCCCAATGGAGCTTTTGCGGTTGCTTGGTTGCTTCTTGGAAGCTTCCCAAGGGAGTACATCACGTCCTCGTCTTCCTCCCCTCTCTCCCTCTCTCACTACTCACTCTCTCTCCCTCTCCCTTCCCTCCCCCACCCACCACCCCTTCCCACCCCAACCTCCCTTTTCTTGCAGAAATGTCTCGCGCAACTACCTCAAAGGGCTCTCTCTCGTTCTCCCTTGAATGGTCTCCTCTCTCCTTCGCTCCCCTCTCTCCCTCTCTCCCTCTCTTCCCCCCCGTGCAGAGACGTATCACGCAACTACCTCACAGGGCGTGTTTTGTATCCTGCCATGCCAGGGTACTCAAAAAACCACTACAGCAGCAACTTCTTCTCTCAGGACCTGCAAGAGTCCGACTGTGTGATACAGGAGTTCCTGCTCGACGCTAATTGCTTCTCCATTCCAGCGGCAACGGTGGAGGGCTCGTGTGCGGGTGTGGATCAGAGGCCTCCTGCTGCGTGTGAGGCGTTCTGTGGGATTGTCAACAGCACCACGCCTGCTTGTGGTGGCCTGGGGGTGTGTTACCCGGAGGGGCCGAACCTTGTTCCCACGTGTCTCTGTAACGATGGGTTGGTGCAAGATGGAGGGATCTACTGCATTGCTGAGGGTACGTGCCTGCAGTGGAAAGCAGCAGTGTGCCTTCATTCTGACAGTACTTCTCTATGTCCGCATATTGACGGTTTGACATTGTGACAAACTTATCAATTCTTCCAACACGTTAATTCTTCCTCTCCTTATTTTGCCGAGCCCCCCTTTGCTGCTGCAGGCTCGCTGCAGAACGGGGAGGTGGTGGAGGCGCCGACCGTTCTCACCAAGGGTGCAGAAGCAGCGACAGCAGGGGCATTCACTGCCGACCCGCTCGTGCTCTTCTCGTATGATTCTGTCAAGGAGGGCTGTGGCACACAGCTGCAGTTCCAAGCCAACTTCACCTTCTTCATGTTGCCTTCCACCGCTGCTGCTGCTGCTGCTGGCCAGGGAGGCAACGGGCTCGCGTTTGTGATTTCGGCGACGAATGCGGCGGGGACTGGCGGGGAGGGGGGAGGGGTGGGGTACGCTGGCATGGACGCTCGGAGCGTGGCGGTGGAGTTTGACACGTTCACAGATGCAGCGCATGGGGACATGCCCGCCCACCACGTGGGGCTCAACACCGGCGGCAGCGCCACTTCCGTCAAGGCCGTTCAATCGCCCTTCCGTCTCAACAACCGAAAGGCTTATACAGCGTGGATTGATTACTTTCCCGGAGCCCCCGGAGCCCTCAAGGTGTACCTGTCTGGGGACGATGTGAAGCCAGATGTGCCTCTACTGGAGAGCCCTCTGTCGCTGTGTGACGTGCTGCAACCAATGGCTGCTCAAAGAGCGTTCTACTTTGGGTTTGTGGCGTCCTCTGTGGCTCCCTTCCAGCAGCAGCACGCCATCCTGGTGTCTCTCATCCGAACAGGTGAGCCAAGGCTCTCAAAGGGATTTGTATTCTCAAGCTTAGGCACGGCAGCAGCACCGTGTTCCAGTTCCCGAGGCTCCCGAATCAGGACGTCTTCTAAGGCTCTAAGGCTCATTGATAATTTGATATACCAGTCTGCTGGCTCCATTGTGGCTCATTGTCTTCCACAATTGGGTTGTAGCTTGGACTGATCCCCACCCCACGTCTTTGCTCTTCTACTGTCTTCTGCGGCGTCTGTCCTGTCCACAGGGTTTTCAATTCCCGCAAAAGCCAGTGCAGTATCCATCGTTCCAGGTACTGTACCTGAACTGTACTTTACTGTACCCCTATGCAGAAAATCTGTCGCACTGTCTTCTACCGTGGTCTTCAAATTCTTTTGACATTTCTGCTCTCTTTCTCCCCTTTATTCTCAACCCGTTTCCCCTCTCGCTCCCACCTATCATCCCAACCCCCCCACTCGCCGCCTACTCTCGCCCTCCCCTCTCACTAATCGTTCCATCGCCCACTGTCCGTCTCACCATCTCGCCATCCCACTCCCGCGTCCTTCTCATTTCCACTGGCTTACACCTTGTCAGCCTTCGGCTTAGCCCTGTCTGCAACGACGTTCCGGCCTTTGCGGGCGAGTCCGTTCACGCGGTACGTGAGTGCATCCTACTCGCTCACGCAGTCGGGGCAGCAGGACGCCTGGCTCCTCCGCGACCCCTCCTCCTGGGATGTGCCCTGGCTCTCCTGGCCCGTCAAGGACCAGGACGCCTGCAGTGAGTGCCGTGGGGGCCTGGGGGGAGGAGGGAGGGAGGGACGCCTGCAGTGAGTGCTGTGGGAGGTGGGAGAGTTGTGGGGGGGGGGGGGGGATGCCATGGAGGGGGAGGGGAGGATGGTTTCGTGCCTTTAAGAAAAGATTTTCATGTTCCCTTGAAAGTGAGAATGCAGGCAGGAATTAAACAAAGTGAGCTGCTCTCCAAGTCGTTCTCGTTTTCTCGTCAAACCAGAAGCCTTTGTTTTTCCCTTCCCTTCCAATCAGTCCATTTGCTCATCCCTCCATTTTTTCCCTTTCCCTCCCCCATCTCCACTTCCCCTTTCCGGATCCCCCACTTCCCCCGCCTCTCTCCCCACTTCCTTCCCTGTGTTCAACCCCTTAAATTTGGTGACAATCCACCATTCATGCACTCTATACTAGTTTGAAGTATGCAATCCGGTTGTCATTCCACTCGAATATCTATAAATTCCCAACCTATCCTTCAAGATCTGATTGGATTACCTCCCATCTCATCCTTCCCTTTCCTTTCTTCAATCGTGTCCCATTTGCTGCTCAGATGCGTGCTGGGCATTCGCAGTGGTGGCGAGCGTAGAGGCTGCCTATGGCATCGCACAGAAGTTACCCGCGCCGCAGCTGTCAGTGGACTCGCTCTTTGCAGCCATGGGGCTCACCACTCAAGAAGGGAAATGCAGCGCTGGAGGCTCCCCGACAGACGCCTTTGAGAAGCTGCTTGCTCTGCCCAAAGGGGGACTAACTCTAGTCGCCACAATGCCTGCAAGCACAAGCAAAACGGCTGTTGTAAGTGCTGCAAGTTCATGTCACGGTGTGTGTGTGTGTGTGTGTGCGTGCGTGCGTGTCTGTGTGTGTGTGTGTGTGTGTGTGTGCGTGCGTGCGTGCGTGCGTGCGTGTGTGTGTGTGTGTGTTTCCTTTCTACGACCATTAACGTTACGTGCGTGACCAAGTAAGCACTCGCTGTAGGTCTTCTTGTCTTTCGGGAATTCGGCACACGAGTACATGTCTTGAACAAGAGAACACTGGAGATTCATTTCTTTGTGCGGTTCTTTCTTCCTGACATTCTGGTTTTAACTTCAAAGCTCCTCTCGCCCCACAACTCCCTGCACTTCTGATGACCCTCAAACAAACACTCTTGCAGGTGAAGTACTATCCCGTTCAGGGCTTTGAGCGCACGCGGTTCAAGGGGTACGTGGGGCTCATGCTGGCAGTGGAACGGCAGCCGGTGCTGGTTCACATCGAAGCCTCTGCTCCCACGTTCGCCACATACGACGGGGTATGCGGACGATCACTTTCGCAATTCTATAAATTACTGTGCATGCTGATTTGCATGGCAACTGCTTGGTGCTTGAAACACATGCATAGTGTGTGTTTCGTCCATAGTTCTTCGAGATTCGCTATCCTGGTTACCCTGTCCATCCTGGCTATTCTGTGTCTCACCCTAAAGCCCTTCTGCCAATGTCTTCCCTCTGCATGCCAGATGATCAAGTACCAGGATCCTGGCTGCTATACTGGCAGGCTGAACCACGTTGTCCTCGTTATTGGCTACTCTGTTACAGTCGGTGAAAAAGGAAAACTGCGTATTCCTCCTCCATTTTGGATCATCCGCAACTCGTGGGGCGAGGGTTGGGGCGACAGGGGTCACATGCGCATGGACATTCAGGGAGGGGATGGCGTGTGTGGCATCAATGTGCTGCCTGGCATCTACCCAATCATCAAGAGTGAGGCAACTACCCCGTTGTTAAGAGTGATGCATTTGCCATATTGTCGAGTGAAGCGTCTATATTTTTTTTTCCAATTTGAGGCATCCACCCTATTGTCATAGTGAAGAGGTGTCCTGTCCTATTGTCGAGAGTGAGGCATTCACCCCATTGTCAAAAACAAGGCATCTGATGCCTGAAAAAAGGTTGAAATTGATCAATTCATACACAGAAGGCACTTGGCCTTTAAATCAAACAAGATCAGGTTGAAAAGGCAAAAGAGAAAGGATAGGATGAGATGAGATTCCAGCTAGATCTCCATTGGTGAGGTGGCAAATCGGTTGGGTTACGGGGGAGTTACTGAAGTTGGGATAACAAATCATTACATAACCTGCTAGTGACTCGATCGATTTAGAGCATAGTCCGCAACTGTTCACAACCTAAACCTTACACTCCTCATAGGCTCCAACATATAAACCGTTGAGAGACTGAAGAACCATAGAGAAAAGCATTCGATTGGGCATGAGCATAGTACCAAACTAGGGTTTCGTTTGAGTCGAACCAAATGGATTCGCATGGAATAGCAAGTCTATGCCTGATCCATCAATAACCTACTTGATATAAGATATGAAATACTGATTTTGACAGCATAATTTTAACATGTATCCCAGAGGGTTTTTCAAGTTTTTTTTTAAACGATCATGTGTTTTCTTGCGCACGAAGGTTTTTTGTTTCCGTCTATCCACTTGCTTATCATGACCTTCCATTCATGCTGTTCTGTGCCTTTCCACACTTGCGTTTCACATTCTCGTAGCATTGTCGACAGCTTGTTTTGAGGCGCCTCAAATCTAGACAGCTTCCCCACCGCTACATCTAAAAAAAATCGACACTCCTTGGCTCAAAGAGAGCCCCTGTGTCTTCCTCCCTAGCCCTTCCTCTTCATCCAAACTTCCGCCTCTCCCTTTCAGCTCCATCTAAATCGGAATCAGCTCAGTAACCTTCCACGTTCTAACTTTCCTCGTTCGTTGCCCCCCACCCCCAACCCCACCCCTTTCGTCTCCCCCTCCCACCTCGACTCCCCCCACACCCTCTCGCCTTCCCCATCCTCGCGTTATCTCAACGGGAGCAGTCCCCGGCGACCCGTGTGTGCTCAAGGGCTTTGCATTGGACCGGGAGGACTGGCCGGTCATGAACCCGTGCGGGCGCTTTGCGTGCCGCCCCAACGCGCGCGCCAACACATACTCGTGCACCTGCAGCCTGCCCCGCCCCGGCCCCCAGCCCTTTGTGGAGGTCGCCAATGCCGACGCCTCAAAAACCTGTGCCTACGGTGGGTTGGGGTCTCTTGTTGGGCTTGGGAGCTGGGCTCGCGCACCTGCAGATGCAGTTGCTGCCTGCACCGCCCCTGCTCACAGCCCTTTGCGAAGTTCGCCAATGCCCATGACTCGCGCACCTGTGCCTATGGTGGGGTGGGGTCCCGTGGTGGGTTTGGGAGTTGGGCTTGCACACCTGCACCTGTGGTGGGGTGGGGTGGGATGGGCATGGGCATGGGCATGGGGATGAGCATGGGCATGGTAACAGCTTATGTGGGGTATGTGTGCAACACACTCCAACAACACCCCTCTACACGACCCACCCGTTTCCCCCACTTTTTCTGAAAACCACTAACTTCCTTCCCCAACCCACCACTTGCTCACATGCCTTTCTTCTCGTGCCTTTTTTGTGCCTTTTTCATGCCTCACTCATGCCTTCTCGTGCCTATCTTGCACCTTTCTTGTGCCGTTCTCATGCCTTTCTCATGCCTTTCTCGTGTCTATCTCATGCCTCCCTTTCCTCTCGCCCCTCCTCTCGTCTTTCCTTTTGCTTCTCCTCATGACGTTCCTCTGTGTCTGCCCTTCCCTCCCCACATGCCTTCGTTGCTCCCCCGCCCTCCCCTGCTCATATGCAATCCCCTCAGTGGACGTGTGTGGGTCCCACACCAGCAACCCCTGTGCCGTGGGCACATGCATCAACGATGGCAAGGGCGCCTACTCCTGCATCTGCCCTCCCAACTACGCCGCCACCACCACCATTGACAACTTCCCCACCTGCGGCCCAGGTACTTGAGCTTTTGAGTCGACTCAGAAGTGGCCAGGCTTCCAAACTCTTCCCCTGCACCGACATTCCATTACTGCCATATGCATGAACTGGAAATGGGCAAAATGGTTGACTAGAGTACACGGCCTTCAATACAACATGCTAGGAGGCGTTGGGTGGATAAGATGCAATGAGGAAGAAATCTTAGGAGGATCCATCCAAATCATGGTGATTTTTGGATGGATGGGGTTGGATAGGTTGGGGATGAGTAGTCTACACCCAACATGCATGACCCAGGTTGACATGAATAATAGCATACCTGTTTCTTCTTTTTTTCGAATGCTCTTCATCTAGATGAAAGCAGAATGAGTTTAGGACTGCTAGCTGAAATAATAATGGGCTTAGCAGTGCCAGCAGTGCCAGCAGTGCCTGCTGTGCCAGCAGTGCCAGCAGTGCCTAGCTCCTTCACTCTTGCTTCCTCTCTCTCTCCCCTCCCCCCTCTCCTCCCTTGTTCCATCTCTCTCTCTCTGCCCTTCTCTTTCTCCCTTGCAGCCGACGTGACAGCAACGACGGTGGCAGTGGGTGGGGACAACTGGCAGTGTGCGGATGTGCATCCAGTCATGGGGCTCACCCTTGCTGACTTCTCCGCACTCAACAAGGTGAGCCAGAGGTTTGGATGAGATAGATAGCCGCGCGGGCGGGCAATGGCGTGTGGTTGGTTATTGCTGTAAGCTTTCCTCGACCATGAGAAAATCATCCCTAACGCTGTTAGCCTTCCCCACCCTTCCCCACCCTTCTCACCATTGCACGCGCCATTCATCCTCCCGTGTGTGTCCCCATCTGCTGTGTCTGCTGTGTTGCATGCCTCGCACCATGGCAGGGTGTTGTCTGCACCAAGGTCCTGAAGAAAGGCACGACACTCAATGTCAAGCCCCCTTCACCCATCGTTTCCTGCACTGCCTTCTTCTTCACTCTCGATGTGAGACCTCCTTCCTGTATTTGTTCTTCTGTTTCTTTTCCAAATTTTCTCCCCCCCTGTTTTCTCTTCCCTGCACAAGCCAAGCTGATGCATGACAGCTGAGAGGACGGGTTCTGAGGACGTTTTTAAGGCTCTTTTCTCCACGCTAGAGAGCAAGCTGAGTGCATAGCCCGGACGAGCAACAAGCGCCTGGTTACCCTCACCGACAGCATGCATCTATCTGCCTTTGCCATAGCACGCACGCAAATCTTGACCAACCTTCCACATCTCCGTGTTTCCATTTCCACAGGGAGATACTTGCGACTCCATAGCGGGGCGCGTCTATCTGCCAACAGACGGCACCTTTGCAACCCTCAACCCCGGCGTTGACTGCTCCAAGAGCCTCTCTCCCGGCCGCTCTCTGTGCCTGGAGCGCAATCCAGAGCTCGTGAGCACGGCGCCTGTGTGCTTGCAATACGCGATGCTGACAGCGCAGGACACGTGCGAGCGGCTGCTCAAAGGGACGGTCGCCACTGTGGATAGTGCTGCGTGGGCTGCTCTCTACCGCAACAACCCCGGCCTCATCTGCTCCAACACCATCCCTGGCTCTGCCTCGGCTGCCGGGAGCAACACTGGCGTGCAGGTGAGGGAGGGGGGAGAAAATCGGTTGAGAAGTGTGTTTGTCATGTTCGTTCTGCTCCTTGATCATGCCGTCCCTTCTTCATCATGTTCCATATGCTTTCCACTGATGTGTTTGAACTACGCTATACCCAGGTGTGTCTCCGAGGTAAGTATTGGAACTTCCAGCTGGGCTCTTGTGTGAAGGGAAAGCCTTTTGAGGCGCCTCAAATGCTTCATTCTTTATGTGTCTGATCTGAACTATACCCAGGTGTGTCTCCGAGCGGAGTATTGGAACTTCCAGCTGGGTGCGTGTGTGAAGGGAAAGCCGGAGTCCATCAGCCCCAAAGCTACGTGCTCATCTGTCCTGTCAAAATACTACGATAATAACGCACTGCTGTATAAACAGTACAACGGCAACCAAGCATGTGCTGGAACTGTGGGAGGCAGCTCGACCAGACGCACAAAAGTGTGTGTTCCTCGGTAGTCCTCCTGGCAGCATGCATTGGGTTTCAGTCTGAGGCCCAAAACGACGTGCTCAGATGTCCTTCGGAGGTACTAAAGTAATTACGCATTTCTGTACAGAGGGCTTAATGGGAAAAACATAAGCATGAGCTTAAGCATGTGCTCGAGCAGTAAGAGCCAGCTCTAGGCGCAAAACAGTTTGTGGCCCGATAATTTGGTGCGGTGCATTGAAAACCATAATGGATTTCTGATGTGTGGTACGGTAGTTTTCATGTTCCTAATACATTAGGCGGAGTTTTCTATGTTGTCGGTCGGAAAAGGCAGTGGTGTTGTGGATGTTGTTTTCTATGTTGTAATTGTACATGTAGCATATATACGGTACGTATGCCTATGCTCATCCTTTCCAGTACTCATCGCAACCTTGTGGTACCATATCTTCAGCAGATTCCTCAAGCCGAGACGCTAGCGAGGCACACAAATGTACTTGGATCCAACATTGCTCGCACAGGCTTTCCCGTTGTACTCTGAAAACTTGGCAGCTGCAGCGCTTGCGGCACCGCCATAGAAGCAAGTCAGCGATGGCGACACTGTCTTGGCCCGGCCCTTGGTGCACCTTCCGAGTGTAAATGGCCAGTACTCCGCCTTGAGGCACACCTGGGGTGGTATAACGCAATGGGGAGAAAGGGGAAAAGGAGTCATAGATTGAGAGGAGAGAGGATGACTGACAATGTGAAGTTTGACACAAGCAAGAGTTTTGTTGAAAACTGAGTGAATGAAAGGAGTGTTAGGTGCGCACAAGAAAAATCAGATGGAAAAAATTGCATGCGAGCTCATGCAAATGAATTCAATAACAGTAGAATGGCAACTATGGCAGAAGCATAGGGTGTCTCTTGACCCAGAGCCCTAAAATCATGGGTTAATTGCTGACAAAAAATGATGACCAAACTGGAGCCGATTGCCAAAGATGTCATTATGGTCACGTGAGCCGGAAAAGAGGTGCTGAAGAGAATCACCATATGAAATAACGTTTTGCGAGCATGCGAGACCGAGAAGCTCACGTGAGCAGGATTCCAGAAATTGCACCGCATACACCAGTCAGGCATGTGAGGTTCAAACAGAAATATACTACAACTGGGAAAAACAAGTCTGAAGATTTCATTATCCCTCCCAACATTACAGAATGACCCATGCAAACTTGCCCATTCAGCCCACCCACTCACTGTTTCCAGGCCTCTCATTCTCCTTCACTCTGCATTTCACATCCCAACCTCGCCCCCCCACCTTGACTCCTCTCCCCCTGCTCCTAACCTCCTCTCCCACCGCTCACCTGCACACCGGCCTTGCTGCCAACAGCAGAGGCAGAGGCAGGAACAGTGCTGGAGCAGACGAGCCCGGGGTTGTTGCGGTAAAGCTCATCCCAAGCAGCTGGCGCCAGTGCCCCCTCCTCATATCCTCTGCAGCAGAAGCTCGCACGAGTCCTGTGCTGTGAGCGTGGTGAACTTGAGGCACTGTGGGACGGTGAAGGCGAATGTGGCGCTGCGTTCCACGCACACGGAGCGCCCCGCCTTGATGCCCTGCTCGCAGCTCAGCCCAGGGTTCAGGCTGAGGAGGTCGGGTTGGGTGCGGTTCAGGTAGGTGGAGATGGAATCACACGTGTCGCCCTGGAGGGGTGAACACGGGGGAGAGGAGTTTGGAGATGGTTCATTTGCCCATTCAAGATGCAAAGTGTATATGCAAAGGATGTGATGCAGATGGTTGCCTTGCCTTGCCTGGTTCGGTGAGGCAGTAGGGGGAGGAGGCAATCTTGTGAGAGCACCAGCTGTGGCATGTATCTAGCTTGAGGCAACCCTAAACAGACTGCCATTTAGCTGAACCCAAGGGCATGTTTTTTCAATGAGTGGGTACACCTACAGCCGCCCAGTACCTGCAGGCCTTCCCATGATCACTGCGTGATCCCAATTCCTCCTAGCAAGCAAACAAAAAGCCTGACTTGATCCACATAGGTCCCAAAACACCAATGTGCCTCCTCAACGGTGTTCACACAGCAACCATCTATTTCTTCCAGATGGCAAACGATGATTCAGTGCAAACCCGAGAAGAGCTCACAGCGAGAGTGTAGAAGAAGGCAGTGCAGGGGACGGCAGGAAAGCCGGCCAGCTGGATCACCGCTTTCAATTTCAGAGGCTTCGAGCAGTCAAGAGCCTGCAAGAGGCAAACACACGATACGAGCCTGAGGCTTTGAATCCAAGCATGATCCCCAGCCATGAAATGACACACAAGGTAACCACACCTGCGCATTCCAGCAAATTGGTGCGCACATATTTTCCTACTCTTTTTTCCCCAAGCTTATCCTTATATGGAAAAAGAATGCCCCGTGTGCAAAATTGTTACCATAACCTTTTTTTGAGGCTTTCGAAGAGGAAAACAAAACACATTGAAAAGCTTTAACTTCCTATCCAACCATCCTCCTCACTTCCAATGGATGTATTCACTCCTTGCCTTGTTTTGCTGCGTGAACTGGGCGAGAGTGAGCCCCATGAGGGGGTGAACGTCGGAGCAGCCCCAGTTGCTGCCACTCACTGCCAAGCTGGTGGCTAAGCTGCCGGCTGGAGAGAGGGGAGGGAGTGACGGAGAGGGAGAGAGAACGCAATGCATGTGTGGGGGAGAGAGGGGGCGGTAAGGACGAGGCAGGAAGGGATTACTGCCAAAAGGACTGAGTGTATGGGGCAGAGCAGAGAGTGACAGACAGGAGAGACCCTTTTGCAAGCTGGGGGAGTGTGGAAGGGGCAACGCCTAGGTCGACCGTACCTGGGTCGCAGGTGGGAAAGTCATCAACGGTTCGGCTGGGGATGTAGTTGGGAGGGCATATGCAGGTGTAGGAGCCCTTGCCATCGTTTATGCATGTGCCCACAAAACACGGGTTCTTCAATTGCGACCCGCACACGTCCGCTGCAAAAAGAATATGAGAAAGAGAGGAGTGGAAACGGAATCAAAATACTTGAATCCAAATCAACCTGATTAGACGCTTTTAGACTAGTTTTTTGTTAGCACTTTCCTTTTCCATTTATACACACACATATATATATATATAAATATATATACACACACACACACACACACACACACACACACACACACACAAAAGCATTATATTCATTCATTCAACACAAAGACCTCTGATTGCGTTGGTTTGTAACACATTTCACTCATACTGGATTTGTGAATTTTGATTACAACTCCGCAAAAACACATAATACGAAATCTAAGATCTCCAACAGTACGGGGTTTGGACATGACCTGCATGTTCTGCTTTTGTTTTCCCCCTCAGCACAGCAGCTATCACATAGTCTAGCTAGCGTGCGTGAAGGGAACATTTTGTCGAGCAAAAAACCATGATAATGTGTGACACTCACACAGGAGAGCGTCAAGCGTAAAAAGAAAGCACCGTTTTGATGTGATGCTGCGTTGACGTTGACGCTGCCCCATCTTCTTTCAGGCAGCCCAAAATTGAAATATTTTTCATTGATCTTTTTAAACTGTGCCGCAATATTGCGACAAAGCTCTCGATCTTCAAAACCAACTCATTAAAAAACACCCCAACTCCTAAAACTAAACCAAGCCCTTAACCACTCTGCACTGCACAGAGCACTCTAAACCCAACACTCACCTCATCATTTCAACTCCCACGCTCAATATTCATGCCATTTTCATTCTTAGTCGTCAACCGCATCTTAGCCCTCTGTCTCTCTTAGGCGCCTCTATCATGCCTCCCTCTTCCCCCTACCTCACTCCCCCTCACCCCACAAGTTCATTCTTGCCTGCCTGAGAATTTTTTGCCTGGCCCCCCAAGCGTCACGGGTATTTCCCAGGAAGCGTCAATCGCCCAGACACTGGCACCAGTGATGCTTGACACGTCAATTCCTTCCTAGTTAAGGTATACGAGGCACGTTAATTATTGCCTTGACTGTATAACCATACGCCCTAGTCTCACCATAAACGCATGTCTTGGCGCCCACTCCATTTGCAACCTCCACAAAAGGCTGTACAATAGCCGTTGAGATGATGCACTTGCAGGAGTTGCCCTTGTTCTTAGCGAGGGCAGTGCACTTGAAGCGACCACACGGGTTGAACGTGGGCTCAAATTCTCGATCTGCCTTATAACTGCTTGTGCCGCAAGGATCCCCGGGAACTGGAGCGGAAACAAAACAGGGGTAGCAGTTATATGGGTAGATGATTTATGCCTGACGCTGGGGTAAACGCAGTACTCTTGATAATGGTATGGATGCCTGATTTGTTACAATGGTTTGGATACCTCACTCTTCTTGACAATGGCTCTTGGCATTGACTCTTGACAATGGCTCTTGACATTGACTCTTGACAATGGCTCTTGGCATTGACTCTTGACAATGGCTCTTGACATTGACTCTTGACAATGGCTCTTGACATTGACTCTTGACAATGGCTCTTGACATTGACTCTTGACAATGGCTCTTGACATTGACTCTTGACAATGGCTCTTGACATTGACTCTTGACAATGGCTCTTGACAATGGCTCTTGACAATGGCTCTTGACAATGGCTCTTGACAATGGCTCTTGACAATGGCTCTTGACATTGACTCTTGACAATGGCTCTTGACATTGACTCTTGACAATGGCTCTTGACAATGGCTCTTGACAATGGCTCTTGACAATGGCTCTTGACAATGGCTCTTGACAATGGCTCTTGACAATGGCTCTTGACAATGGCTCTTGACAATGGCTCTTGACAATGGCTCTTGACAATGGCTCTTGACATTGACTCTTGACAATGGCTCTTGACAATGGCTCTTGACAATGGCTCTTGACAATGGCTCTTGACAATGGCTCTTGACAATGGCTCTTGACAATGGCTCTTGACAATGGCTCTTGACATTGACTCTTGACAATGGCTCTTGACAATGGCTCTTGACAATGGCTCTTGACAATGGCTCTTGACAATGGCTCTTGACAATGGCTCTTGACAATGGCTCTTGACAATGGCTCTTGACAATGGCTCTTGACAATGGCTCTTGACAATGGCTCTTGACAATGGCTCTTGACAATGGCTCTTGACAATGGCTCTTGACAATGGCTCTTGACAATGGCTCTTGACAATGGCTCTTGACAATGGCTCTTGACAATGGGGTAGATGCACCACTCCTGACAGCTGGTTCAGCCTCACTCTACACAACGGTTATGGTAGATGTCTCACTCTTCACGATTGGATAGATGCCAGGTAACACGTTGATGCCACACACGCCATCCCCTTGCCGAATATCCATGCGCATGTGGCCATTATAGCCCCACTCTCCGCCCCACGAGTTGCGGATGATCCAAAACGGAGGGGGGATGCGCCGCTGCACGCTGTCCCCCACGGCAACAGAGTAGCCAACAACAAGCACCACGTGGTTCAGCTCGCCTGTATAGCAAGCTGGGTCCTGGTACTTGTATGTCTGGAATGGCATGGCACAGAGCACAGGAAACACAAACAGCAAGACAACCAATAAATTGTGAGAGAGAGAGTTGTAGTTTGTACCAGTAAAAACAACGAAGACGGAAGGACAACAAGGTGTGCCATGTCATTCACTGCAAAAAAATGATAATCCCTGCATTCCCCTTGCTCCTGCCCTTGCTCTTGCTCAGAAAGGTGTGTCATCTACAGGCCTATGATAAATCCAGTCCATCGTACTGCAAAGCTGTCATTGCACTTTAGCATCAGACCGGGCTTGTTATCAACCAGACTCGCTCACACAAGACTACTGCGTCTATGGCATGCCATGTAGCAGGAGCTTGCATAGCACATATCCGTGCTGCTACAGATGTTAATTCTCTACCGCACTACCACATTGCTCAGGTGCATGCTCATGACATTCCCCTACAGAATCTAGTCTAGTCTGCTCATGACCGAGTCGTCGATTTATCTAGACCGATAAAGAAAACGGTACATGCATACCGTTGACAAGCAGTCAATCGTATGTCATGCAGCTTGGCTAATCTGCTTTGGTTCACCCAACATACCAACATTCTGGTCATGACTCACTCCTACCAAGCACATACGACCTTGCTATTGCTTTGCTTGTTTTGCACACAAAGCAAGCGCTTCAGTTCAGTCTGTCTTGGTGCGATTTTTTTCCAAGACACTCATTTGCGTAAAAAAATCTTCCGACTAGAAATATCAACTAAATTTGGCCGTGAATATATTTTGAAGTACATTCATCTGCATCATCGGCATTCTTCTCCTTAATACCTTGTCACATGAGTTCCACTCACCCCATCATAAGCGGCGAACGTGGGAGCAGATGCCTGAATGTGAACCACCACTGGCTGCCCCTGCACTGCCAGCATGAGCCCCACATACCCCTTGAACCGCGTGCGCTCAAACCCTTGAACAGGATAGTACTTCACCTGCACAGTGTTTTGTTTGTGAATCATAGAATAGAAGAACAAGAACAGAATAGACCAAACAGAGACAAACAAAAAAAAAAAATTCCACAGGACCATTCCATCCGCATTCACGTCTCTAAGTCCTGAAGGAGAAGAAAAAGAAGACAATAATATATGGGACACATGATGGTTGCCAGTGCTTCTCCTGGTGATCTGTCCAATCACACCATAACATAACAGGTGGAGCCCTTTTGAGCTCCTTTTAATTACTTTCTTTTTTTCCTAGGCACCTTAGAAATCGCCTCACTGCATGCAACACTTACAGCAGCTTGTTTGCTTGGCACGACACTAGCAATGTTGCTGGTAGCTAGAGTGAGTCCCTTCTTTGGCAGAGCAAGCAGCTTCTCAAAGGCCTCTGTTGGAGATCCCCCTGTGGTGCATTTCTTGGCTTGAGAGGTGAGCCCCATGGCTGCAAAGAGCGACTCCACTGACAGCTGCGGCGCTGCTTGGTTCGTTGCGATGCCGTATGCTGCTTCTATGCTCGCCACCACTGCATACGCCCAGCACGCATCTGAACAGTGCGTGAAACACAAGGTGAGGAGGAAGAGAGTGCGGGACAAAGTGAAAGGGAGGATGCTGTTTTAGATCTTTGAAGAAGATGTGAGAGAATGTAGACACAAACAACAAGCAGCCAAGTCCGATCTAACAACAAGACGCGAATTCCTTCCTCATCCTATGTTAATTTTCCATTCATGGCAATCCAGCCCCTCCCTCCGAACCTGCCCCCTCTCCTCATTCTCACCACTCCCCCCATTCCGCTTCCCCTTTCCCCCCTCTCTCCCTCCCTCCCTCCATATCTCTCCTCTGCCCACCCTACCACCCAACCCCACCCTGCCTCCCTCCTCCCACCACACCCACGGCATTCACTACAGGCGTCCCTCCCTCCCCCGCCTCCCCCCACACCCATGCCACTCACTGCAGGCGTCCTGGTCCTTGACGGGCCAGGAGAGCCACGGCACATCCCAGGAGGAGGGATCGCGGAGGAGCCAGGCGTCCTGCTGCCCCGAGAGAGCATACGCCGCACTCACATAGCGCGTGAACGGACTCGCACTCGCTGGCCGGAACGTTGATTGGGACACAGAGAGCCCATAGGCTGCCTCAACGGAGCAGGGAGAGGAAGGGGGACAAGGGTGGGGGGGGAGGGGGGAGAGGAGGAGAGGAAGGGTGGGGGGGGGGGAGAGGGGGACAAGGGTGGGGGAGGGGAGGGGGACAAGGTTGGGAAGGGGGGGGGGGACAAGGGTGGGCGGGGGGTGGGCGGGTGGGTTGGGGGGTTGGGGGGGAGGAGAGGAAGAAAGTGCAGGGAACTTTGTGGTGGGAAGGAGTGGAGGAAGGAGGAAGGACAAGTGATAACCAATGGTGGAGAGAACATGTGTGTCTGTGGAAAGAGATGGGGAGGTGTGGAGAAGGAAGGGGGGGGAGGAGAAAGGGGGATTAAGGGGGGGGGGCCTTTATGGGTTTGAAAAATACCTTACGCTGTACTACACACTAGTTCTAGCCAAAAAAGGCTCCCTCCAAAGGTGTACCTGGTGAGACGATGGACGCTGGCTTGGATGGTGTGGGCACGGTCAACCCTGTTGGCACAGACGGGTGCGTACGTAACAAACAACCGAGTCAATTAGAAAAAAACAAATGGAAGCCAAAATTAACAGATGGAATTTTACACAAGAACCAGATTCAAGTGAAAGCAATGGTCGGTTGAGCAGTATTCACTAATTATTCTAGAGGGGAGTCTAATTATACTAGTGGCGAGTTGTTTTTCTCCTAGAATCGCATATTACTTGCACTTCCCAACAAAGGAGTCAATGCGGGAATTCAGGGTTTGGGGAACCCCCGGCCGCAGAAGGTTCACCGAGAAAGCGTGAAACTCAGCAGTCGCCTTGATTGCCTGAACACTTGGGCCGCGACCACACCCACTCACAAAGCATACAGGCAGATTCATTCCAATCTGGCCCGACTGACCTGTTTCAACGAAGGACACGAGGATGGCGTGCTGCTGCTGGAAGGGAGCCACAGAGGACGCCACAAACCCAAAGTAAAACGACCTCTTAGTTTGTGTTGGCTGCAGCACGTCACACAGCGACAGAGGGCTCTCCAGTAGGGGCGAGTCAGGCTTGTCCCCACTCGCAGCCAGATACACACTCAGGGTTCCCGGGCCTCCGGGGTCACCAGGCTTGTAGTCAATCCATGCGGTGTAAGTCTTCTGGTTGTTGAGCGTGAAAGGCGAACGGACAGCTGCAATGGAAGTGGCGCTGCCGCCGGTGTTGAGCCCCACGTGGTGGCCGGGCATGTCCCCATGCGCTGCATCTGTGAACGTGTCAAACTCTACCGCTATGCTCCGACCGTCCATGCCAGCGTACCCCACCCCTCCCCCCTCCCCGCCAGTCCCGGCCGCATTCGTCGCTGAAATCACAAACGCGAGCCCCTGGCCCGCCTTGGACGTGCCACCAGCGGAGGGGAACATGAAGAATGTGAACTCGACTCGGATTGGCAGGTCGGCGCCACATCCGTCTGGAACTGTTCGGTACGTGGCGACGGCGAGAGGGTCCGCAGTGAACACTCCTGCCGTTGCTTCTGCACCCTTGGTGAGAATGGTCGGCTCCACCAGCTCTTTTCTTCCCACCGACCCTGCATGCAGCAAGGGCCGTCAGCAGATTGTGGACAGAAGCGAAGGGAGAGGAGTTGGGGGGTGAGCACATTCGAAAAGGAGAGGAAGGGAAGTATTGGAAAGAACCAACAAGGGAGAGGGGTGCAGTAAATTCGCTGCTCCTATTCCATATATCCGGAGGGGTGCTGCTTCTATTCCACATACCCGGAGGGGCGCAGTAGATTCTTCCATCCTGCACGGCTCCATCCTCACAGCGGCACGTGGGGATACGATTCGGCCCGTCCAGATAGCAGACTCCCAGGCCGTTACAAACAGGCGTGGTGGTGCCCTCCAGCCCACAGAACGCGTCACACACTGCTGCCGGGCGCTGCTCCGCACACGTGATCCACGGCTTGTCCGCCGCTAATGCTGCAGTGGAGAAGCAGTTTGCCCCGCGAGACTGTCTGAAATCGCCGCATTCACGTTCGGTCAACTCCCCCATGAGATAGTTGTCCGCAATGTCCCTATGAGGAAGAACAAGGGGCAAGTCGTGAGGGGCGGAGAGGGAGGGGAGAGACTTTTGAGTTGACCCACAAGGCATTCGCGCTCGGACAACTCTCTTACAAGATAGTTGTCTGCAATGTCCCTATGAGGAAGGGAGAGGGGGTGGTGAGGGGCGGAAGGGAAAGAAGAAGGAGAGAGCAGGAGAGACGGAGAGAGAAGAAGCGATGCAGCAATCGCAAACATGATAATACATGTAATGTAAACAAAAAAAATATGGAGGTTGGTGTTTGGCAACAAAAGCACATGTAATATACTTGAGGCAGTCAACGCAGCACAGGCACGGCCGAGATGAAGCAGGGGCAGCAGAAAAGAAAAATGCCACACAGTGCACGCGTGTTCTCAAAAGCCACGTCTTCTGCTGCAACTGTGCAGTGCAGAGCAGAACTGCAGGGGAGACTCACAGGAGGAAGAGGCTGGACAGCATTGATACAGAGTTTGGGACACGACCAGTGAACTGGTTCGAAGCCAGGGACCTGGGGTGCACAGGGCACATTGCACTCACACACGATGGGATAGTGGGCATGGGCATGGGCATGTGGACTGTATGGCACGGCGCATGCGAGGACGAGGATGGAATACGTGGGATGCTAGGTGCATGGCACGGGTGGCATGCGGTCGTGGAGAGGGAAAGGAGGAAAGTAGCACATGAGTCTGTGTGCATCTTTCTTGAATTAGCGTAAATGCGTGTGGGTCTGGGTGCGTGCGTGTGCATGTGTATGGGTGCGTGTGGGTAGGCGGGTGCATGTGGGTGAGTGCATGTGCGTACATGCATGGGGGTGGGTGTACGCGGGTGCACGCGCGTGTGTTCGTGACCGTGGGTGTGGGTGCCATGTTCCGTTACGAAGCGGGAAAGGGAACCGGCGTAAGGGAGAAACAGGGAAGAGGGCAGCCAGAGATGCATGGAACGACTACTGGACTGAATACAACACTAACCATGAGATGAGAATCAAATCAGAGATGCTTCAGGGTTCAGCGCCATACGTACAGGAAGTGTACGTGGCCCAGATTGCCAAGTATCGACGGCACGCTGCCAGCTAGTAAGTTCTCCTCCAGATGACTGCCAGGGCGCAGGGATTAGGAGTGTGACAATGCAATACAAGTCAAGGAGGGGAAAGGGAGGGGGCAGCAAGTACAGGCTGTAAATCAACGAGAACAAGATAGTAAAGGACAGCGCATGCATGCAGGTACACCCTCTCAGAGGAGTATACATTAAGAGCTGTAGCAGGTGAGTGAAATGAAAGCACTGCTGCTGCAGACATTGAACCAGGGCACTTACAGCTCTTCCAGTTGAAACAAGTTGCCAATAGAATCGGGGACGGCGGTAAACGCATTGCCGTTGAGATAACTGATTGGCACGGGGTGGAAACGGAATGACACAGTTTGGTTGGGTTCCGATATGCGAATCATCTCATGAATTGGATGCTGCTGGATGGATGGCACTGCTGCTGCTGCTGTGGCTGCTGCTGCTGACGGAACAGAGGAACGAGCAACGGAGGGATCGAGACTGGTGGTGGTGGTGGGTGGGTGGTACTAGGGCAGTGGTACTGACAGGTAACGGAGTTTTGCAAGCTGGCCGATGGCGTCTGGGATGGACCCCGAAAGCAAGTTGTCATTCAGCTCCCTGCAGGTGATGCCGAGGGGGAGAGGGGAACAGAGGGAACAGAGAGGAACGAGGGGAACAGAGGAGGGCAGAGGGAACAGAGGGGGACAGATGGGGGCAGGGGGTGGCAGAGGGGGCCAGAGGGGGGAAGAGAGGGGCAGAGGGGGCCAGATGGGGGTAGCGGGGGACAGAGGGGGGCAGATGGGCACAGAGGGGGACAGTGGGGAACAGATGTTGACAGAGGGGGACAGAAGGCGACAGAGGGGGGAAAAGAGGGGCAGAGGGGGGCAGAGTGGGGCAGAGGGGGGCAGCGGGGGGCAGAGGGGGGCAGCGGGGGACAGAAGGGGACACAAGCCGAATGACACATGGCTGCCAGGTACGTGGGGTTGCCGGAATAAAAATCACCACACACTGAACGGGTGTGCTGCATAGCGGGTGAGCTAACTGCTTGCCGTCCCTCACCCAGGCTCCCTACAGCAACCCCCCAGCGCCCCGTTTGATTGCAGCAGCATAAACAAACCGCACAGGTATTCCAGCTGAACGAGCGTGCCGATGGACGACGGTATGGACCCCTTGAGTTGCTCGAATGCCATGTGCCTGTTAGGGGTGATGATGATGATGATGATGATGATGATGATGATGATGATGATGATGATGATGATGATGATGATGATGATGATGATGATGATGATGATGATGATGATGATGATGATGATGATGATGATGATGATGATGATGATGACAGAGTGCAATGAAGCAGCAGCGGACGGAAGAGTATGAGGGGATGCCACACAACGCACATAGCTCCCCTTCACTCTCCCCTCGTCCCATCATCATGGTGTTTTGTCTCAACGAAAACGGGAACAACACAGGAGGTCGAGCCTGCCAGAGCCGCACAGCCGCACAGGCAGGCACTTATCCAGCAAGACGCGCACTCACAGAGCGGTGACCATGCCGTTGAAATCACACAGAATGCCTCTGGGCTTCTCCCATTGGGCTTCAGTTCCCACATAATTCGCCACGGCGCAGTCCTGTCCCGCACTCCACGTCGGCATCACCACGTTCCACTCCGTCTGGCAGTCCTGAAGAGCCGGGACTGTACCGGGGAGGGAGAGAATGTAGTGCAGTTGGCAAGAGACGAGAAAGGCCGTCAGTCAGTGAAGACAGCGCCGCGCGTCGTTGTGTCACGGATTTGTTGAGCTGGACATTTGAGAGTGGAAAGGAAGAAACCGGACGGACAGTGAAATACGCGGCGGCGGTAGCAGTAGAGAAACCGAGTGACTCGGCGGCACCATCATCGCGAGCAGAGCTCGTGAGGGGGGTCGTGGGGTACGCGAGTAATGAGGTGATGTAGCAGCTATGGAAAAGGGACCGCACCACAGGCCTCTCCGAGAGTCACTGATGCCAGCCCTCGAATAGATGGCGGATGTAAGTGATGATAGTCACGGAGAGTGCCAGTGGTACCTTGGGAGGCGTCGAGAGGGACAGATGTGCCGGTCAGTCCGGCAGTGGCGGTGCGAGCGAAAGAGAGGGCCGCGAGACATGATGCCGCCGCGGTCAGGAGCAGAAGTGGCACCGGCGGCGTCATCTTCACACGCCGATTGCTAGTACTAGTAGAACTGCTAAGTGACTCCGTGATGGTTGTTGTAGTAGTGGTACGTGCACGTCGGGTCTCTGAATGTCGAGCCTCCTTGAGAGATGATGCGCCGCATTGCGCCAGCTGGTGTCGCCGATGGTGCATCACGCCGGCTCGTAACGGTTGACTCGAAGCGTTTGAGGAGCAGGTGCACTATAGTTGCGTAGCAGCAAGGGCCAAAAGAAGACTCGGCGTTTTTCCTGATGAGAGTCAGTGTCGGAGGGATCTAGTAGGTGCACGCTGGAAGGAGCGGCCAAGATTAATTTTAGGGTACGCAGTCATCACCGAAAAAGCGAGCTATCAATTAACTTAATTGATACTTGTGCACATCCTCGGAAGCCATAGTAATCATAAACGCGGACCCTCTAAAAAATCAGGAGGCCTCTGCCACACAAAGACACGATGATCTCACCAAAACACCTCCACGACGAGCCCGAATTAACCTTTTTCTAAGGCTCGGGAAGCAGAGGAAAAGAAATATGGACCACTAACCCCGAGCCAGTTGTGACGAGCAGCAATAGCACCTAATGCGGATGGTGGAGGCTCTATGCACTGGCGAGGTTGTGTCCCACTCGGAAAACTCATGGTAGGAATACGGAGATCCAACATCCTCATTCTCACAACAACACCACAGACCTAACTCAAAACGTCCTTGAGTTATTGTGCAAGTTGCCACATGCGCGGACACCAATTCATGCCTATCCACATGGAGAAGCTTTCGGACTTGGGAGTGTTGTTTTCACTGGGACGGAGTGGAAGCCCCCTAAATGGCAACTTTCCGACACAACAGAGCCTATCAAAGGTCCGTTCGGTCTGTGGTTTATCTGAACATACGCGAAAGCATATGCCCGGGTCACACGTGCTTCCTTCACAGTTCATTCATCACATCACTGGTCTGGGGGTGCTGGAACGAGAAAACCGCTCTAGATTTCACAACATCGTACTCAACCTTTTTGTTCATAAGTCGGCGTGCTGGAGCAAGCAAACCGCTCTAGACTCCACAACATCGTAGAAAGCCGCTTCAACTGAACAAAAGGTAAACCAAGAGTGGCCTGCCCTGTCATTCTCGTCACATCTCTGCTGGAAGGGACAGGGGATGGTACTACAACGGTGTTCTGTTGGAGTTCTCATCGCCGCACCGTTGGTGGTTTGGTAAATTTCGTATTAACTTCAGGTGCCTTTTTGGTTGACTTGGCAACACATGAAGGCTCGGTTATAACCGAGGTAAACTTCTCGTTTGAACAACTCAGCCAAACTCGGGTCTGCCCTTTTGATCACGGTCTGGCGAAATGAGAACCGAGGGTACCTCATTTTCGTAAAGGCAACGATAAGAATTTCTTGATCAGTCACAGATGAAAGATTATCGAGCAGCAAGAACGTGAGAAGATTTTCTTGAAATTTGATCGCGGTCAAGTGTTGGGCGTTCAAGCCTACCACGAGCAAAAAATTGGGCTGATGGTTTCTGCCCCGCACCGGTGGTGCGGAGGTGATTCTACCTCGAGAGGTAGAACCCGTGGTGCGGACCATTTGCCTGGAGAGGAAATGGCGTGGAACAAACGGGCGGTTTTGGTACAGTGTCACAAAATTGCCGTTCTGCATGTTTTCTCGGTTTTTTTTATGCGCCCAGCTTCGGACAATGCCCAACCTGAACCGAGGCACCACTGGTGCGGATGGAAGAATCCGCGAAGGCCATTTTTTGCCAAAAGAGCAGCGCCAACGACTGATCATGGAAACCGGTACGTATCTTCTCTAGGAAAAGGGATTTCAGTTGACAAAGCACGGTTTTCGAAACTGCAAGCCAAATGCGCAGTTCCATCGCTTCTGGGGCAGGGTTAGTGCGATTACAGCGCAGAGTTAGTGCGATTTCTACGCAGCTCGACGCTCATTGGTCTAAATCTTCGAAAACGACAAGCCCACTGTGTAAGAGAAAAAGTTTAACCCAGTCAGGTGTTAAACATTTTCAAGCCCATATAGAGAGAGCATCAATCCTGAACATCCATTCGCATAGTGTTTAGGGTTGATGTCTCCCTAGATGGCAGCCATAAAAATTATATATATAAAACCCGTCGCAAAGGGCATCAACCCGAAACACTTTCGCCCAATGTTTAGGGTTGATGCTCCCTAAACAATTCAACCCTGTGTTTAGGGTTGATTCTCCCTAAACATTTGCCCAGTGTTTAGGGTTGATGCTCCCTAAACAGCATGCCATATGAGAGGGTATATATATTTTTGTCTGCCCAAAATTCATGTGCAAACAGTTCGGTAGCCGTCAATCCAAGCGGACTTGTCGGTCCGTTGACATTTTGACCAATGAAAACTTTACTGCGTAGAAATCTCACTAACTCTGCGCTGTGATCGAAAACTGGGCAGTAACTGTGCGCCAGAAGCGACAGTTCTGCTCTTTTGGCGTATAGTTTCAGTAACAATACGGGATCAAATAAAAACCCCTAGGAAAAGCTGTAATTCCAGATTGACACGGAAGCTGTAATCCCTATTCTCGATAATTTCACATCCCTTAAGCGCACACCTTGGGGTAAATACTCTCGGTCAAACGTTTAAGTAGGGTAGCAAGCAACGATTGTAGACTATCGGAGGAGGGGGTCTCGCAACCTTCTCGCGAATGGAAGAAAAGAACCCGGAGTTCCAAGGGCAGCCATCCACCCCTACTACTCACTCGGAAAATTAAGTGCTAGACTCCATACTACCCTCGTCAATCCTTGGGTGTCTGTCACATCGAGCCACAAAACGTACAGGGTACCTTCGAAATAGGGGATAGGGAGTGTGCAATTATCGAGAATAGGGTGTAATGACAGATTGACACCTCGTAACGAATAAACGAACAGTGCTCACTTGGAACTTCACTGTGGTTGAAGGGTTTTAGTCGAAAGGGAAAAGGGTAACCACATTCGAAACAACTGTTGTGAGGTGCAAGTGGCCACAAACTGCCTTGAGAGCCAGTTGTATTTTGTTTTAAGGACGTGGGCCCAATCGAGCTTGATCGCCTCGATCACACGCGATCATTAATTTTCAGGAAGCCTGAAAGCTCATTTCAGACAATCGGGGGCAATCAGCTGATCGCGATCAACTGATCGCTCCAACCCGATCAGACCCAATGTCACCCCGATCAAAGCCAATTTTCCTCGATCACGGGTGATCACTTGATTTCATGTGATCGGGGCCCACAGCGATGCTTGCGAGTGGCTACACTATTGCAACTAGGGTAACGAGAATTTCGCGAGGTGAAAATGGTCGTCAACCTCGCTACAAATTGGGACGAAAAACCTAAGTAAATGTTATGCGCTGGCTAAGCAGGCGCTGAAAAGCTTCCAAGAAAAACATCTCTGATCGGGCGGCTCGGGCACTGGCGATCACAAGCAACCCGACCAGTTCCGATCCGATCAGATCAGTCGCGACTCGCGATCAAACTCGATTGGGCCCACGTCCTAAGGTGGATTAGGTGGAAAGGAAGCGCCCTAAATTGCAGCCACACAATCTTGTCGTTGCTGCTCGGGAAACTCGAGACAGGTGAAGTTTAACTCTGTTCACAAAAACAGAAAAGAAAAAAATCCAGGGAAGCAGGTGATTTCAGGAACTGCAGGTAAACCAAAAGAACTAGCGGGTCTTTGGAATGCTCGGAGGCTAGTCAAAAAGGGAAAAGAGTTACCACAATCAAATAATGTGGTTGTGTGGTGGCAGCATACACAAGATGGTGAATGTTGTCGTTGACAAGGTCATTCTTGCGTGGTTTCATCGCTCGACGACGGCAACATTTGAGTTCCTACGGGCCCTGGTGGGCGCAAACCCACCAGGTCCCTATCCTGGTGGAAGTCGAATCCACCAGGACGCGGAGCCGGCGGAAGCCTTCTGCCCGGGGCAAAAAAAACTATTCCACATCGCGACCTGCATGCCGTTCGGGAGCCTCAACCCTAAAATTTTAGGGTTGATGCTCCCGAGCCGCATGCCTTCCGGGTGGGTTTTAGTTTTTTTCTTGCCCGCGGGCAGATCGCTTCCCCGAGCGCGCGGAAGCGGTCGCGGATTCGCCCGTGTTTTTCCGACAGGGCTCGTATGAACATTTGAGAAATGCTTTGGTTGATGAACCGTCCCACAACCAACAGTGTTCGACGACGCTTGCAACCTTTCCAAGACGTTGCGCGCGACTCGACTTCAACAGACGGCTCCGCAAAGGTCTGTCAAATCCAGGGGGTTTTCTCTAATTTTCTTAGAGACTACGGGCTGGTCCTGGCTAGAATTGATGGGCTGCTGAACAAACTATCCCTGATTTTTCTAATGGCTGGTTCTAAAGGTATCCTTGGATCTTTAAGGACGTGTTGCATTTGCCGGTGCACTGCATCGGCTTGGGACGATTGGAAGGCTCTGGGCAGGCCAAAACCGGGTATTTATTTGACAAACACTGTCCGCCTGTCCTGCTGCTGCTATCTTTCCTCGGGATGCCACATCTCAAAAAGTTGACGACCGAAATCAAACCCAACATCGACTTCGAAGTCACCTTCCGGTTAGTTGAGGTAGTCACTTGAGGGTCGTAGGGTATGTCAGGTTGGGGTCACTCAAATTTGACCCTCGACTAACCCGGCGACCAACTCGAAGGTGACTTTGAGGTCGTTACTGTTCATCAGAGGCGCGAACCAGTATTAAGAGACCCATTACACGAACAATACACTGGACGTGCTACACCATTTTTGTTTTAGAATCTGTAATATAGGTGCTACATTGCATACAGCAGCAGTTTTAAAACCTTCAAACAGGGATTACATATTATTATACTTCTTATAATTCAGGGTTTACAATATATACAGGGGCAGCAACATGTGGACACATTCATGCAACAATTTGACTAGCACAAATCACTATCTCTCCAGCCTATTGCTCATCAACACCCTAACAGTACAGGCATGTCATTCCCATATGACATGGGTGTGGTTTTGCAACCACATCTGCATTTCCAGTATCACCTGCCACATCTCAGAAAGAAGCACAAGTAGGAAATAATGAAGCAACGCAGGTTGATGCTCGTAATGTAAAAAAATATGAAAGTTAAGTACTTACGATTTTTTAGGTACGAACCGTTACTGCAAGTGTCGCCAACGCAAAGAGCCAACGTCGATTAATCGCCTGCACCTACAGCACACACAAACGCGAGCCAAAACACACTAAAATATAAATGACGCGAAACGATTATGTGGAAATGACCCTGTTCGGGCATCAGTATTAAAATTAGAGCATGCAATTGCTGCAGGACCACCCCACGAGCCCCTGATTATCTCGGCATCAGCCCGCAAAGGCATGTAATCACGACTCAGAGGGAAATTACGAGAGACTCACCGTCTGCGCCTACATCGCAATTCCCGTCGGTTTCTGCGCAAGCGCCACACCCACCCAGTTACGAGGGTCTCACCGTCTGCGCCTGTCTGCATTAGGTGCAGCTCCACTCACTCAGCTGCGATCACCGGCGGCACTCGCGCCGTGTGATGCTCGTCAGCCACTGTAATGAAAATAGTACAACAAACAAAAGGAAATTCGTGATTACGGGCCGATCACCCTGTTCGGGCATCGGCTGAAAAAACAACTGCACGATGTCGCGAGTGGTAACTTGTTAACGATGGTTTAGGCTATGCACGAAAGGCAGCATCAGCGCGACGACACACTATCCATTCGCACTTCCTGTCTGACGGAAATAGCATCCTAACTGCTGAGTAAATCAATGGGGTAGGGGTGGGACAGGCAGGGAAGTGTTAATCAATGCAACGATAAGCCGACGTCGGTGTCTTCACATGTGCTTCACCGGATCCGCACGCATATGTATCCGCACGCAATGTGGCCAGCGTTTCACCGCGTCAAGATCGGCTGTCACCACAGGTTCAAATACTAAGTGCTGAGTTTGTATGCTAGCAGACACACAAGTCGAGCTGCTGTAAGCAAATGAAAATAGACTCTGCAGAGCAATGTTTAATGGGCAAACAGAAGTCTATAACAGGGTTGATCGCGGTATTCCACGGTTCCGAAATATTCAGCAACGGTAGAGTGGGTTGGCGAAATATCCTGAAGGGGTTGGAGGTGGTGGTTGAAGACTTCAATTCTGTGGTTGTCTGTAATTCTTTGCTCGTAATTTTCTAGGGGAAGGTGCTGACACTTCGGCACAGCTGGCAGCTTGCCGCCACCTGTGCATGACATGTGGCGCGAAAACTTAGTGGTGATTGGTGTGATGGGATGGGTTCTTCCAGCTTTCTGGTTGGGGTGGGGCGTAGGGGTGACTTGGTGTGGTTGACGTGTAAGGTGGGTAGGAGGAAATGTATGGTGGAGAATGTGTTGCGTAGAATTCTCGCCATGCTCGTGATTGGCAGCTCATATTTCTTGCTAGGCTGAGTTTCGCCACTCCCTGGTCACGATAGTTCGGATTTGGCGATCAGGCAGTGTTTCATGCTTCGTTTGCAGTTCGCTGGGGTCGCGGAATCGTCATGGATGTTACGGAATGTGTAACCAGGTCGTACGCAAAAATATCTGATACAGTTGTGAAAGTGCGTCTGGTTTAGACCATTTCCTGACCTTACCTTGGTGCGCGATCTCAATTAATGGTTTTCGACGCACAGGATTGGTCAATGTTTATCGATAGGCGACCCGGAACATCACGACCTGCGATTGGTCAATTTCTTTTTCATGCGCGGCTCGGCTGTGGGGAGTTTCGACGCGTCGCGATGGTCAGGTTGGGGTCTCTGTCGGGTCAGGGGGTCTGTTTTTCCGAAATTTGCCAACCCGATAGTCACCGAAGGGACAATTCCGCGTGCTATTGACCCTACAGTGACTTTTGGGTGAGAAACAAGAAACCTGGTAGTGACCTAGAGGTTTCGAGTTTCTGGGGGTGAGCCTCGGGTCTTCAACAATTTGGCGATGCAGCACCACCCTCGCATGCGTCATGAAATCCAGCACTGCGCCACGTCCCACTTTCTTCCGTTCGGAAGGGGTCACACGTCATGCCGCATCACATCGTGCCAGCCAAACTTGCCGGAGCACAGCCGCTGTCAGTCTCATTTCAGGAAAATCCGACGTCGTGCCCCCTTTCTCGAACGTTACGACTGTTGATGTACTTCGCGCTTTACAGTGTATCTTTGCTAAAAATATAAAAGAACGTACGTAAAGTCAACCAATCAACACTTCTTACTGAATTTAACTCAGAATTTAATGATTCTGAAGTGGCCCTGTCAAGTTAGATTCGACTTCCGAAGGATGAGGTTGCGGGATTAAAGCCCGAGTTCCACATGGCTGTTTTCAAGTTCAAGATTCCTGAATATGAATTCGCAAATTACCATATTACCACCCGAAGTGAAGCATTCTGTCACGATATTGATCTGTGATTGGCCAGCGACACTCAAAGTCATACCGAGCGGAGGGTCAGCTGGCAAGGCAGCACTGTTCACTTGAACTGAACATGAAAACCATCTGGTACTTATTGTCAAGCATACCTACGTAGTTCACCCGCCATTCACGCCCAAAGAACCACTCTGATTCTGCGTTTCTGTCATTGACTTATGAGTAAGTGAATTAGGGTTGCCCTGTAAAGTATGTTTGCCGGTCTTAGGATTCCCCATCGCCTTCGCCTGCCCGCGACGCCTTCGGTTCCTTGGCTCCCGTTACTCGCTTCCTCGCGTCGTTCATAATTCCGCACGTTGCCCGCGCTTAGGTACGTCGCCCACGCCTCCATACGTCGCCCACACTTCCTTACGTCGCCCACGCTTCACCTCGACTCTCCCTTCCATTCGCCGCCCTCCCTTCCGCCCATCCCCCTCCCTTCCGCTCGTCGCCTTCCCTTCCGCCCGTCGCACTCATTCCGCCCGTCGCACTCCCTTCGCCAGCCGCCCTTCCTTCCCCTTGCGCGCTCTCTTCCGCCCGCCGCCCTTCCTTCCCCTCGTCGCGCTCCCTTCCGCCCGCCGCCCTTCCTTCCCCTCGTCGCGCTCCCTTCCGCCCGCTGCCCTTCCTTCCCCACGTCGCACTCCCTTCGCCCGCCGCCCTTCCTTCCCCTCGTCGCGCTCCCTTCCGCCCGCCGCCCTTCCTTCCCCTCGTCGCGCTCCCTTCCGCCCGCCGCCCTTCCTTCCCCACGTCGCACTCCCTTCGCCTGCCGCCCTTCCTTCCCCTCGTCGCGCTCCCTTCCGCCCGCCGCCCTTCCTTCCCCTCGTCGCGCTCCTTTCCGCCCGCCGCCCTTCCTTCCCCTCGTCGCGCTCCATTCCGCCCGTTGCCCCCCTTCGTCTCGTCGACCTCCTTCCCGCTCGTCCCCTCGCAATCTCCCGCTCTCTCGCCCTCCCATCCACTCCACGTTGCCATCGCCATCCCTCCCTTCCCTGCTTCCCCCAATCCCCTTCCCTGCTTCCCCCCATCCCGTTCCCTGCTTCCCCCCATCCCCTTCCCTGCTTCCCCCAATCCCCTTCCCTGCTCCCCCCATCCCGTCCCCTGCTTCCCCCCATCCCCTTCCCTACTTCCCCCCATCCCCTTCCCTGCTTCCCCCAATCCCCTTCTCTGCTTCCCCCCATCCCCTTCTCTGCTTCCCCCCATCCCCTTCTCTGCTTCCCCCCATCCCGTTCCCTGCTTCCCCCCATCCCCTTCTCTACTTCCCCCCATCCCGTTCCCTGCTTCCCCCCATTCCCTACCTTGTTTCCCCCAATCCCCTTCTCAACTTCCCCCCATTCCCTTCTCTGCTTCCCCCCATCCCGTTCCCTGCTTCCCCCCATCCCGTTCCCTGCTTCCCCCCATCCCGTGCAATGCTTCCCTCCATCCCCTTCCCTGCTCCCCCACACTCCTTCCCTCACGCACTCATTTCTCCCCACCCTCTCTCATTCCTTCCCATCCTTTCTCATGCAACTCACCTCCTCCCTCACCTTCCTCATAACATATTACCTGCCTTCTCCCCCAGACTCCACCCACCTGCCCTCCCCATCCCTGCCTTTCCCTCCTGCCCTGTCCTTCCCTTCCCCATCCCTTCTCAAACCTTCCCTTCCCTATCCCTTCCTTTTCATGCCCTCCCCTTCCCCCTCACTCCTCACCAACTGCCCTGTTGTTCCCATGCGTATGCACCCATCTATTTCCCCAAACATGCTTTCATCATTCCCCATGTGCCCTTCCCTGCTCCACCGCATTCCGCCTCCCTCTTCCTCCCTCTCTCCACTCCATGCCCTTTCTCCCTCCCTTTCCCCCTCTCCCTTCAATGCCCTCTATGTGCTATCACCCCTTCTCTGTGTTATGCCACCCCTCTACGTGTTATAACTCCCCTCCCTGTCCTATCCCCCACCCCGCCCTGTCCTATCCCCCACCCCGCCCTGTCCTATCCCCCACCCCGCCCTGTCCTATCTCCCACCCCGCCCTGTCCCATCCCTCACCCCGCCCTGTCCTATCCTTCACCCCGCCCTGTCCTATCCCCCACCCCGCCCTGTCCTATCCATCACCCCTCACCATCCCAGGCAAGCATGACAAAGGCCCCGCCTCCCCTTGCTCCTGCTTTCAGCATCTCAAAGGCCCAGACGAGCCACATTGCATAATGGGAGAGCTTGCAGATTCACAATGGAAACACCAAAGACTAGCGTAATGGTTTGAGCTTGTCTTGTATCCTGATATTCATGCTAATGTCATGTGTAGCTAGGTCTTAAATGAAGTATACTTGTGTCTAAGGTTTACATGTTATCGCCTGATTTGTATCCTGATCTACTGTAAAAGAGTTACAAACAAAACTACCGTAACAGAGGCTACCATGACAGCAGCATGAACAGCAACTTGAGTACAGTATCAATGAAGGCACAATGAGGGCACCGAGTGGCCTCAAATGAAATCAAATCGTACTTGGTTGCTCTAATCTGTAAAGCAAAGCTCACAATGTTAGGGTGGGCGGAGGAAGCGAGGGCGACGGGCGGGGATGCGGCGAGGGCGAAGGGCGGGGTGAGGGCGGTGGGCGGAGAAAACAATGGCGACGGGCGAGGGTCGCAAGATAGGCAAAGCGACCCTTTCTCTTCTCCTCACACCCATTTTCTCCGTGCTTCACACTCGCGTCTTGCGCCTGCGCTTCCCTTCGTTTGCATATATGCGCTTTCCCTACTAATTCAAGTTGTCTGAATCGTGGTCACTAAAAAATCCTAGCTTGTGTGCGATGGTCGGATTGTAAAGTGACTGAATGAGGTGTTAGCTGTTCTGTCGAATACAAACTTGTGTGCGAATGTGTTTTGCTTCGCCAGGGTACTCTCAACGAAAACAGCTATCGCTACTCTTCCAGCTAGTGTTTAAAACCCTAGAAACAAAAAACGATTTGCCATGCTGACCTCGGGCTTTAAACCTCGGTGCCTGCGAGTTCCGCCAGCCCCCAAGAAGGGGGTTTCGTACTGCTATCTGGAAGTGGATATGCCTTACCTCTATACCCAGCGAGGTGTGTAATCAAGTGGGTAGGCGGATTAGGGCGTGCGTCCTTGCTGGCCAGAATTCGAAAAAGATTCGTTATCTGGTTACCCGCTTCGCTAATCTTGCTTAGATAGGTCGCGAACCTCGTCAACAATAGGCCAAATCAAGGAAACGAACAATGACACTAAACTCCGGTCGAACTTACGATTGAATGTTCGCGAGCACGTTTTTGGAAACGTGTTCACCTTTGCATGTTTTGGATGAATCTGCGAAACCTGCGACTAGGACGAAAATCCTCCCACGCACTACCGAACAGTTGTCAATGCTGTGGCCTCGCCAACTGCCACGTGGATAATATTGTGGCACGGAAAACAACTTCGCGAGGTAAAAAATCCAGCCGATCGCGAAATCCATATTCAATTGGCTGATCTGGTAACCTACGGGTAGTCTACAAAGTTTGGGTGCGACTCGGGCCCAACTCTATACGGTCGAACTTCGCTAGTCGACCATCGTTGTTCCATGTGCCTGAATTGAAGTGTGATCACGCTTTCCGACCAGCAGAAGTCGAGAAAGTAGACTGCAGGTCGACCTTTGTCCATTTGTTAAAATTTCAATTAAAAACATGAACTTTACAAATTGTGCCGAAGGACACACACCCTTAAGATCGACAGCCGGGGGTACCCAAAGGGGGATTTCCCCCCTCCTTTACCTTTAGCCAATGAGACATTGGCTGAATTCTATTGGTTGCGTAACTTTCCGTGAAGCCTTGAACTCGCCGCCGACATTCCCCCTTGCTGCTCCTCCTTCGCAAGGGGCTGGGGTTGCAGAAACTTTGCTTCTCTCCAGCAGGAATGCTCAGTGGGGCTTGAACGTTCAGTAGCAGAGCACAGTGTGAGAGAATTTCTCCAGTGGCCAATCGGGTGATTCATCCTCTCTCGGGGGGCCTCGATTTACTCGAGTGGCCACGAAATTGGGTGATAATTACTCGAGTGGCCACGCCAGGGGATTCCTGCTCGCTTTTTTTTCACCGGCGAATTACCCTACGGGGATTTGTAGCCCCGAAATTCCTTATTCGTGCGAGTGGTATCCCTAGGTAGTGTTCCGTTCTGTTCCGCAACTTAAAATTTCGCCAGGCTCACGGACGCGAAAGTGGCCCGCCCACTGTACAAGAAACCGACCAACAGTACATTGACCGGTCAGTTTCGGCCAAATGCGCGACCAATGAGCGCGCGGTCCATCTAATTCCGAACGAATCAGCGATCGAGCATATAACTTCTCGATCATATAATCCTATAGACCCGAAGCGAACAGCCACACCCCTAATGCACGCGCATGATTCGTAAAAAACATGCGCGGTGCATATGTTGCCATTGAGCGTCCAATCAGGCGCCATCATTGAATTCCCCATCATATACCGAAATGATCGGCCATCAATTCGCGATAAACTAAATTACCGCGCGTGATTGGTTTGTTTTAATCTCAGGATATGCTTTGCCATTGAGCGTCCAATCATCCCCGTCCAAATGAAATGGCAACCATATATAAAATAGGACCGCGCACTAACAAATATTAGTGCGCATATGATTTGTCCACGTTTGTGTGCTTAGGGTGCATATAAAACATACTCTTAAATCCCATACAGCCACTTTCTTGAGTTCTGTTTTGGTGTTATCTCTATATAGCACAGCGATCCCCTTTCATGTAGCATGCAGTGGCAAAGGGTTATAATGCTACGCCTATATGTCTATGGGCATGTCAGGATCTACGCATTACTAACAAGGTTTAAGTGGAACGTCTTTATGTTTATGGATCAAGCAATTTCATGTTCATCGTGATGTCACAGCAGTTATTGTGTTGCTTGACCAAGGAGGTCATCGATTATGTCGTCCGCCGCCCCTGCAAACGGTCAGAAAACAATTTCAAAACTATAATGCAACGTTAGGTAAATAACGGGCTCTGGTTATGCACAACTCTGACAAAACCAGACATCTCACCTGTTGCTGGCTCGCTTGCGAGTGTGGAGCCGTGAGACGGGGGGTTGGGATTGTTGGGTGCAGCTGTCATGCTCAAGCTGTGCTGGGAATCTGTCATGCCAGCTACCCTAGCCTGCGCAGTTTGCTCTGAGGGCGGTACTTGTTGGACTTGTGGATGTGCCGTGCTGGGTGCAACGGCCGGTGTTGTGGGTAGGGCATGCGGATGGGGTGCTGTGTTCTGTGTTGCGACATGGCCAGCAGGGTTGGGTACTGAACCGGCTGGGGGTACCGACATAGGTGCTTGCACCTGGCTGAACGGATGGATAGGGATGTGGTTGAATGCATACTGCTGGGATGGAAAATGGAGGTTGGGCAGATGGTTGCTCTGGGTGTACGGCTGCCATCCACCATGGTTTAGGGATGCACTGGCCTGTCCCACGAAAGCGGCAGCTGGCGTGTGGTAGTTGCCGAACGTGGGTCTAGGGTGCTGGTGGGAAAAGGGAGGTGGAGCCTGTGTGTGAACTCCTGCTGGCGCTGGGGTGGAAGGCTCGGGGAGGCTGCTGAGCACTACACGCCAGTTCCTCCACTCCGGCCACCGCTTGGCTTCCACAATCCTCTCAACCCCAATCGAACTCAGACCCTCCAAGCACCTCCTATCCTCCTCGCTCAACTCCACCATTTTAGAACTGGAGATGGACGGTCGGCAGATGTGAGCGGCTGCTGCATAGGCTGTTGCGGCATCCAAGATCTCGGTGTACCGTCCCAGCGCAAGGAACTTGTTATTAGCGCTATCGATGCACAGTCGTGCGGCCCACTTACCTTCCCGTTTGCTTATACCTGTGTAACCTGAGCTAGGAGCTCGACCACGCGACGTGTTGCGACTCGTCGTCTCAGTCCCTGCGCTGTGTGCAGGCACCACATTCATATTCGATGCTGTCACACCATGCCCAGCACCCACGGCCTCTCCAGCACCTCTGTTACCATCCGTAGTACCCATCAAGCCTCCAGCACCTGCATCATGCACCCTCGCTTTTCCATTGTCACTCCTCGCACCGTCAAGTGTATCCCCCTCCACACCACCTTCACGCACACTGACATTCACTGCACCCGTCTCAACGTCAGCCACAGGACCCTCACCATGTGCACCTCCAATGCTGTCATGTTTGCCACCATTGTCCCCACCCATGACTACCACGGGTGCCGGAGCACCAGGTCCACCGTCCGGTGCCACATCACCATTCGCAGAGTCAACACCATGATGCGGAGGACGATCTAGCATCAGCTCCCGTAATTGCCTCTCAAGCTTGGCAATAGCCACCGCCTGACTCTCGTTGCGAACCTCCAGCCGATGCATCCGTTCTGCCATCTCTGCTCTCCACTCCCTATCCTCCACCTCATCACCAATCACATCGACCTCAGGTGGTTTCCTTATCTCATTGCCACAAGGGATCTCATGCCCTGCTGCCGTGAGCTCGCCGCTCAGCCGACCCTCTGCAAGAGCGCACACATCATCCCGTAACCCACGACGGTACACCAATGGGCTCATGCTGAACCGCACCCCATTCTCAGCACCTTCGAAGCACGCCTCCACAAGCGCATGAATGTACTGGCAGACGAAGATGCCGCAGTAAAAAACGTTCTGCTGCAGAGGCATCTGCCACGCCTGCAATACACAATAGGCACATGCAGCGTAAAGAATAGCGGACAGGCGTGACCACGGTGCATCATTTGTTAAACGGGGTTTGTTGAATGTACTATGTCACAAACGCACCGTGCATAGCTGAACACCCTGTACGCTATAGCAACATGCACATACGATGGCAACACTTAGCACCCGAGCAACATACAAACGAGAGCATTCTAGACTGGGCATTATAATGAGCGAGAAAGCAGCATCGTGCAGATGGGTTCACCATCCGCCTGGTTGCACCATGTTTTTAGGGTTGCAATAATAGCATGGATGAACAAACGTCACGACAGGCGAACTACTCGCCAACACACCTCCATGACGTGCGGCTTGAATCTTCCAAGCCGAGCTTTCATCTCCTCTATTGTGCGCTTCCCATGCTCCTTCTCGAAGGCCAAGCCTAGCAAGCTGTGAGGGGGCCGCGTTTGTCAAGCAAAAAGGTGGAGTACAGTTGAAATGAACGAAACAGAAGCGTGCACTGCAATGATTGATGTCTAGGTTTTAGGGAATGGGTGTACGCCACCACCAACGGACACTTACTTGGTCATGTTCTTGAATGCATTGCCCCCCACAGCATGCATCCCCAGGGAGTCGTACAGCAGCAACCACGCAGGCTGGGTGGCGGTGTCCTCGTCGAGCGGTAGAGTTACTAATCCAGGGTTGACGACAATCATCACGCTGAAATGTAACCTGCATTGACAAAACATTACATACCTTGTGTCACGGATTAGGCAACACAACAACAGACGCCATATGCGTGAATGCAATACCAATGACACAATATCTTCGCACTTACCCGCCAAATATTGGCATGGCGAGATAGTCGTAGCTGAAGATGGACGGTCCGGCGTCGCCTCTTGCGATCTTGCCCCGTGAGCAGAAGTACTCGTAACTCTGACTGTCCAACGCAAGCCACGTCTTGCCGTTGCTCAACTTGGGCCAGCGTATATTGAGCACTCTGCGGTGATAACGGCAATAAGTAAAGCACAACGAGGGGAGTCGGAAAGGCGATAAACATGACACGGTGGTTCACCACATGATTCAACGTGCCCATTGCTTGGCACTTACATGTTGTGAAAGTCGATGAGAGGCTGCGTGATCGGCTGATCATCGGTGATGTGCAGTGCGTCGGCCATAGTGATAACGGCTGTCATTCCGTGATGATCGCGAATGGCATTGGTGGGAAAAAAAGGATGCGTGTACTTGCCCGCAGTAGCTCTAGATTTCTCGTTAGTATTTAGGAAAGGGATTTTAGTATCTCCGATGATTTTTGCGATGAGGTCGTCGGGCGGAGTCTCTACCAAAGACTTGTCAAACGCCTGCTCTACGCCATAATCGTGCGGGGCTACCTTCTTCAAGACCACCTGCTCAGATGGCGTGGCGCATCGCTCCTGTTTATTCGTCACGTTTGCTTGGCCCGATCTCAGCCTATCACTGCGACGAATGCCGTCGTCTTCTCCTGATTCCACGTCGGGCGTCGACGTGCCATCACCTCTTCTCATCCGTTTCCCTCTACCACGAGCTGCGCGGCCTGACATAGGTACAGACTTCTAGCGCGCCGTATGCTCTAGTATCACGGTAGAAAGTGGTAGATCTTGGATAGGATTGCTAGATACTTAGGACGTAGCTCGGCTAGTATCGTCCATATTATCTATCTAACCCTAACTTTGCGTGCTCGCCAAATTGGCGCCAGGAATATGTTCGTGAGTAAGAAATGACTGTGTCTGGAAGGGCGTGTTTAGGTTTTCCATCTCTCCAGCTCTTAGTGGTTCGTTATGCGCGATTTAGGGTAACGTTTCATCGCATGCTAGTTTGTCGCAGTTACGAGGGGTGTTACACGATTTTCGCGCGACCGGTTGAACATCGGATCGTAACTATTTCGTGGTAACAGCGAGCATGGAAACCTCGCTTGGGCGACTCTCTGGTAATTGAAACGCGCACGCTTTTCCAGTAAAGTAGATCGACTGCATATGCTCGAACCAATCAAATTCAAGCGTGAATTGACCGATCATATGCATGTGCATTTCGACCAGGTATTCGCGCGTGCGATATGACCGGCGAAATTGACCGGTCATATCCCCGTGCCATTTGACCAGGCATATGCACGTGCGATATGACCGGTCAATTAGATGTTGCATATGCCAGTCAAAATTCGATGTCCTCTTTATAAAAAAATGCATTTCACGCGCCATATGGCTGGCACACTCAATTCGAAACTATTTGATGCTGAAATTTGTTTACTGCCATTTGTTACGAATTTACTAAACGTGAAATTCTATTGTTGTTAATAACATAAACGTTCGAATTATGGCCCGCCGAGATATCTTTAAAAGAGAGTTTGCAATACAAATAGCCCAATTAAAGTGCTCAATTATTACCCTTGATGATTTAACAAGATCACCCGAGCGTTGAGGAATAATATTGACTTTCTACGTGTAACATCCCAAATCTTTCGTAGAACCTCATAGATTACACCATACTTCTGTATGGTCCCATGGCATAAAGGCCTGTTTAAACGAGCTCGCATTATTTAAAGATACAACAAATGGGAAACTCTAGGAATGTATTAACCAATTGTATGTATGTATGGTCCGGTAATACTGGTCACACCAGCAAGTAGGAAAACATATACCATATTGTTTTAGGATGAGAGTATGAGGTTGGTTGTGGTACCTATACCTAACTCTTACAATTGTGCCTCATATAACACACCTCACTAGCACTAAAACATTTGACACAAATGTCTTTGCAAACTTATTATGCGACACAAGCACTGCGGTAACTCAATTGTGCTAGAGTATTAGGGAGGTTGGTTCTGTTGAGATCAGAAGATAATCGCTGCCAGGATCTCCTCGGGAAGGTTCGCACGCAGGTAGATAGACTAGGTGGGCCCTTGACCTCAATAGCAGAGTGAATGTAAAATGCTTGAGATAATTAAAACATGCAAATACAACGATATAAATAAGAGTACAGGGGAATACGAAACGACCTAACTAGCCGTAATGTTCTTCATTACTATTTGTAACAGGTTCATTCATACCATGTTTGTGACTATGGGACCCATTTGGGCCGTTCATAGCTAATGCCTAGCATCACAAAGAGTTAAATCTCTGCACGGTCATGGGTACACAATGATGACTAAAATTCATATTCTATGCATTCCCGATTAGAGAGTCGTAATGCAGTGCCGACACAGCTCTCCAGCCTACTGTATGACACCATATGCGTGAATACATGTTTCTATATCAACTCACGGAGCATCACAACATATCTGTGGGAGTTTTTACCTATACAACCATTATTTCATTGTATGGATAGCAGTAACTAAACTACTATACTGTATCCGTCTTTCGCACGTAACGGTATGAGTGTGCGTTAACAACGAACCCCAAATTCGGCTAGTGGACCGTTCATATGCGCGTTGTGTTTTGACCAGTCACGTGCTCATGTGTATATGACCGGTCATATACGCGGGAGCATATGCGCAGTCATCTGTGCGTGTGCGTATTACTGGTCAAGTGCGGTAGACTATAGGGCCGGTCAATTGTTCGAGAGTATATTATTGGTCAGGATCGTATAGTTATATGACTGGTCATATGTGGGATCATTAATCTTTTTTCTTGACAGTCACCAATATTCATCTAGAAGCAAAGAACAAGCAGCCTACCACAGTCCCTATTATTCAAGACTAAGCACGTTATCGCACCCCCCCATTAGTTTGCTACATGATACACCTCTGACCCCCCATATTTTCCCTTACACTTCTTCCTGGTATGCTGAGTAGACCCACAGTCGCCACACTTGTATGTCCGCTTTGGTGCTTCACGCCTTCGGTTAGATTGTGGCCGCCCTGATCCTCTCTGCACAAAGACGGGGGGATTACAAACTCCCTCCTCAACGGGCTTGGTCTCCGCAATGACCGTGTCTATACACGAATACGGAATGAGCGCCGAGTACGTCCTTCTCCAGTTGTTCGTCTTCCAATACCTGGTGATCAAGGGGATAACATCCATTTGCCTATCCCGTAAGTGTGCAAACGCATGAGAACAAGGAAACCGATATTCTTGCCAGTTCTTGCACTCGCACAATCTCTCTCCCACATCATTGTTGAAGGAGAGAGGACGTCGATCCAACGCGCTCCCCTTGTTCCGAACCCTTGCCTTGCTTGGACCATTTCGTGTGACCCTGTATCCTCGGCTTCGGTTCTGTTTCAGCTCAAACCGCTTCTCAGCTTCGACCGTCAATGCATGCTGCCAGTTGGATGACTTCCGCTGCCCATCCGAGTAGATTTTTGCCATCCAATCCCACATGCCCGCCATTACGTAAGATACCGGCAAGATGCGGATCTTCTTAATGGCGTTGTTGATGGACTCCACCATCTGGCTGCTGTAGATGCCAAACCGACATGTGGGGGCATAACACCGTGCCCATTGCTTGATGAATACTGTGTTTTTTTTCCTCCTCTTGTTTCTCGGTCCATCCTGGCCCGTGCGCACAATAATGGCCGCCCCTTCCTCCATGGTGTCACTGTCCACCCGCTCAGCATCCGCATTGCCCAAGCCCCCCAGTCCCGTTTCTACAGTGTGGTTGACGTCCGTGGCCTCTGCGGCGTCGTTGGCCCGACCCATGTCTGTCGTAACACCCTGCTGCGGTGTTGGCTGACGCGCACTTTGGCTCCCTTGCGTTGGCAGCCGTGCTACTGGTGTTCCGGCTCGTTCCCGCCCTCTTGCACCTGCCTCTCTTGCATTCCGCCTTCCCCTGATAATTTCCATCCGCCGTTGGCGTCTCATGGCCGCTTGTTGCGCTGTTGTGGTGGATAGAGGATGAGTTGCAGTATTGGTGGATTGGGAGCCGTGACCCATGTCTGCACGCTCCTCATCCTCATCAGGCCCCGGCTCCTCCCCGCAGCTGATTTGGCTCCCATCCTCCACGTCAAAGTGCTCCTTGAACACTTCTTCTGTGGTATCTGCCTCGGCCTCACTATCGGATATGGTTGTAGCTCTATCTCTTGCATTCTCGCCTGCCAAAGAAGGGTGCTCGGACGTGGTTGCTGTGACACGTTCAAGTGGATGCACGTTGTCAGCAGCCGTAGATTGAGGCTGCATGTCACTAGGGCGGTCACGGGTAAGATTTGCAGTTGGCATGGGTCCGAACCCATGGTCCATATGGGGCGTCTGAGATGGTTGCTGCTGAGATGGCTGCTGCTGGGATGATGGCTGCTGGGATGGTTGCTGCTGAGTTGAATGCTGATGTACCCTTCTCTGATTTGATGGTGTTTGCTGAGATGGTGGCTGCTGAAATGGTCGTTGCTCAGATGGTGTCTGCTGAGAAGGTGCCTGCTGTGATGGTGCCTGCTGTGATGGTGCCTGCTGCTGTCCCCTGCGACCACTCCTCATTTGCTGCCGCACTTCCATCCTTGCCATTCTCGCTCTTCTTGCGGCACCCGTGCGGCTTCCAAACCCATCCCCTGCCCCTGGCTCCCGTGCACGCTGGTTGGCCCCGCGTCCGCCGCGGGTCTGCTGCGCACTAGTCTCCTCGACCCCAAAGAGATAGTTAGCCATTCCAGCACATTCGGCCCGGCATCTCCTCACGAGTTTGCCAAACTTCCGCTTGGTGCGGCAGTTGGCGAGCTTCTTGAAGAGTTCGGAGGCGTTAGGGCCAAACTTGAGCACATTCTGCTCCAAGTGCCAGCTGCAAAAGTAGTGGGGGAACTGGGATGGGAAAACTTCTTTAACCGCCGGTATTAACCCCTTGTCACGATCGCTGATGAGGGAGGCATCCTGGGTGTCCGGCCACGACGGAAAATGCTTCAACAAGTTCGCACAAAACCACATCCAACTATCTTTGTTCTCACTCTCGCACAGGCCATAAGCAAGTGGAACAAGCTGGTTATTTCCATCCTTAGCAGCTGCTACCAAGAGCGTGGCCCGCTGCGCACGAATGAGAAATGTACCATCCATACCAATGACTGGTCGACAGAACCTTAGAGCTGTTCGTGACGCCGATGGGGCGACAAAAGCCCGGAAGAAAGCGTGATCCTTTGTCACCAGGTCGAGCGTTGAATCTGGGTCTATCTCTTTGAACCGTTCCAAGACCCGCGGAATGTAGCGAAAAGAAGTTTTCCAATCTCCAAAACGTTCCTTCAACATCTTTTCCTTTAGCCTGCAAAAACAGACGACGGTGTACAAGAAAACAGAAGCAGGTACCCACAAACATGAGGTGGATGGGGCGATTAAGAACGTGCATGTGACAATGGCGGTCATGTGGATCGAACGTTTGGAAACGTACCGCCATGATTGCTGATAATTTATATCGGGACCACCAGTAGACGCAATCTGTTCCTTGTACGTCCCGGGAGGGTGATGTGGTGCAGTTTGGACAAGATTGCCGTGATGACGCTGCAGATATGACACTTTATTTGTCGTGTGTTGCACGTAGCGGTCCCGATCAACGACTGAGCAGCAATGGGATGATGGGGCGGACAGTTTGTCAACACGCCAAAACCCACCCACTCCGTCAGTAGAGTACTCACACCGCCACCGGCACGCAGGTTTACGACGCTCATGTTTACTCATGCATATGGCCTGGGCTCTGTTTCGCCTACTCCTCGTAACCCTAAAACCGAAGTTGCAAGTTACCGAATAGTCCTCTAGTGCTTCGTACAAAAATTTCTTAGAGGAGTATAGCTGACCTTCACACAACGGTGCTCGATCGTCTATGGCGATTTGTGGCGATGGGGCCTCGTCGACGACCATTTCCCGCAGCAACGCACGGTACATATCACTTTGTTTGGGCTCTCCAGTTCCAACGAAGCAAAACTCTGTGTCCTCATCGCCTGAGTCGGACTCTGTGTTACAAGTATAAGACGTCGAACTCATTGCGGTTAATATGAACGTTCTAACCGTAGGACCTCCTAGATGAACCTCCTTTAAGGACCTAACTGGTCTAATCAAGGGCTAAGGTAGATGTGAACCCTAAAACGACGAGAGGAAATGGTGTGAGCAATCTGTAGCATATGGATCAAATGATAAAGCGCGGGAAGTTGAAAAGGGCGTACCAAACCAGTTTGAGCGCGTTAATTCAAACCTTTTGTGCGAGAGTATTTAGTATATGATTGGCGGGATCATATAGTAAATTGTGTTTAATGAACGCGTTCAAATATGATCGGCAATCCGTAAATCTTGCGCCTGATTAGACGCGCAGTGGCAACAAATGCACCGCTCTATCTCCTGACCAATCGAGCGCGGTCTTTTTGCTGTGTCGGTTCGTTTCGGGTGAAATGCAGTATATGATCGCGAAGTCATATGCTCGATCGCTGATTGGATGTTAATTAGATGGACCGCGCGCTCATTGGTCGCGCATTTGGCCGAAACTGACCGGTCAATGTACTGTTGGTCGGTTTCTTGTACAGTGGGCGGGCCACTTTCGCGTCCGTGAGCCTGGCGAAATTTTAAGGTGCGGATCATAACGGAACACCACCTAGGGATACCACTCGCACGAATAAGGAATTTCGGGGCTACAAAGCCCCGTAGGGTAATGCGCCGGTGAAAAAAAAGCGAGCAGGAATCCCCTGGCGTGGCCACTCGAGTAATTATCACCCAATTTCGTGGCCACTCGAGTAATTCGAGGCCCCCCGAGAGAGGATGAATCACCCGATTGGCCACTGGAGAAATTCTCTCGCACAGTGTGCTGAAATTCTCAGTGTACGTACTCTGTTCCACTGATGTCTGTTGACATCCCACTCATGGACCGTCACCACCGTCACACTCCCCAGTGTCTTGGTTTCATCACACGGTATTCTGCGCGCGCGTCATTTGTCAGCAGTTGTTGGAGGGTGTCATCATCTAGCGGATGTGACGGACATAGAACACGCGCCTCAAAATTCCGCATCAGAGCCCTCTTTTCACGGCATACTTCACAGATTGATGTACTGAAGAGATATTGGGGACGCTGACACGCACCATCTACGTATTTGGAATATTACGACACCGTATTACAAAGCGTCGAGTATAATAACCGCCGCCGGCGGTTTCCGTGACTGAAAGCATTACGAGCGCCGAACCAGCGCCAGTGCCCGTTGCTCTTGGAGCGCCAGCAGCGCGATGCGCCGCTTCCGACGCCACTGGCTCACGTCAGCATATCTCAAAGAGGAGCATGATTCGTTAGAAAGACGACGTGCAATTGGTATTACTACGTGTAGCAGTTCCAGCAGTAGTAATAGTAGTGCTAGCCACGTGAAGATGATGTTTCTGCCTCGGCTTCTGCTCCTGATGATGTCATGCCACGTGACGGTGCCTTTCCCCCGCACTGCTGCAGTTACCCTCCACCCCTCCCAAGGTACCATACGATGATACAAGTTGCTGTGTTGCGAGTCTGTAGCATTTTCTGTGCTTGATGGGAGGATTCTTAAGAGCACTGTGGTATGGTAGCACATCTATTCCAAAAAGAAGCAATATGGTCAAAAACTGCCTTGAGGGCATGATTAGGTCACAATTGGGGCTGCTACTGCTGCTGCCAGATTTCGGCGTTCCAACTGAGTTGCTGGCTTGGCTCCTCTCCCCTACTCAATCTTGTTCGTCTTTTCTAGCCACGCTCCGTCCCTAGGTCTTCAAATTCAATTCCCCTGACACCCACATCATTGACCTCATGGCTCTCATGCGCACATCTTCTTGCGCGCACTCTTAATTTCCGCCGCATTCGCACCCCGTCACAGTCACAGCTCTGGTTGACTGCCAGAAGGAGTGGGGCGTGACAATGGAGGGGTGGGCGGAAGGAGGCGAGTGCACGGAGGAGCAGGCGTATAAAGACGAGTTTGAGGATGGGAACCCAATGCCCGACTGGCGAAAGCCCAGAGGCATTCTGTGCGATGGGGACGGCATGGTAACCATCATGTGAGTGAGTGACCCGCATGCATGGTATGGTGGTGGTGAGTCGTGCATGACCGTACTGTGAGTGACCTTCATGGGGACGGTACAGCCGGTAGGTACTGTATGTATGTGATGTGATGCAATGTGACGCATGGTAACCACTGCACCGACCACGATGTAAGTGAACCAACCGCATAGGGACTGGACTGTGAGTGAGTGAGTGGCCCACCGCGTGGCGATGCTTGCTTCTCACCATGCTATAATGAGGAATGATTTGGGACCCGTGAGCCTGAGGTATCCCCACCCCACATGCTAGCTTGCTCGTGTGTGTGATGGCTCTAGTCAAGGGCATGCACGCAGAATGAGTCCGTCTTCATCGCATCATGTCATTCTTTTGGTAGTACTAGTAGCACGTACGTACGGTAGGCGATAGCTCAATGCCATGCAATCCATCACCTCGTGTGTGTCCGTCTGTCCCCCTCATCTTCCATGGTCCACCACCCTCTGCCTGCCAGGCACATGGCGGGAGAGGGCCTCCGGGGCTCCATACCAGCATCCATTGGTTCCCTCATCCAACTCTCCTACCTGTGCGGTTTGGCTCCAACAATACTCTCCTGTACTCCTATTGCCTGAGAGACCACTACACTGCGTGAGATGAGCTAGATTGTCAGTGCTCGATCATAAGCCGTTAATGTCGGTATTGCAATTCTAGGTCAGTCTCAATTAAGAGGAATATTCCATTCACCATGGCATGGCAGCGAGCGTCACATCAGACAAGAAACCTCACCTCACCACCACGTGCCGTCCATCACCTCCCGTCTAATCCATATAACCACCTTGTTGTGTTGTATCCATCCCTCCGTACCTACCTTCCCGTGCGGTGGCATGCGCAGAGAACTGAATGCAAATTGGCTAACAGGAACCATTCCCGAGGCTCTTGAGCAACTCACCACACTCTATGTTCTGTCAGTGCCCGCAGTCTCGCATGGTCTGATCCGATTCTGTTGTTTTTTTTCCGAGGTCTGGTGCTCATTGTGTGTCTGTTGCACCACTCTTGCAGTGCTCATTCTGATTGTTACTTACCACCAACGTCATTGCTGTGTCAGTCATTCAGCGAATCAGTGGTGCCACTAATTAGTACACACCAACATTAGCCCACCTCACTACGCTCGCATGTTCTTGGCTGACTAGGCTGGGATGGGACGTGACGTGTGACGTGTCCAAGCAAGGAATCCCTACTCATTATGCAGCTAGCTGCCCTTTCTCTCTGTCAGGTCACTCGACAGCAATGCACTTACTGGTCTTCCCAATAACCTCGGCAGCGGTCTCGTTAGTTTAGGTCTAATGTGAGTATGCCGCCAAATTGTGCATAGCAATGCCGCATGCACACACCTACTTTAGTGCTTGCTATCCCCTGTAAATCGAGCATGCGCATGGTCCATGGATGGTTGCTAGTTCTGTCTGCCTTGCCTACCTCACTCATGTTTTGTGCTTGGCATACTAATGATTATATCGGCTACCCACCCACATGCGGCATGCGGAGTTGAGTCCTGTACTGTTCAGTTCAAGTGCACTTGTTTTACCACACATTCTTTTTTTTTGTAATGTCTGACAGCGCGCTTTCATGACATGGCACTCCTCCCTCCTCATCCCTCAGTACTCTCGCTCGCATGCGAGCGCGTGCAGCATTCTGCTGTTACTCCATGTGTGGAGTATGGACTTACCTGTTTCACGAGGCTCTGGCCTTCCAGGTTTCAGGCCATTCCTTGATACCGCTCATGGCATGGCATGGCATGGCATGGCTTGTCAGGAATCTGCGGGACAACTCGCTAGCTGGCAGCATTCCCGACTCGGTCAGCAACATGGGACAGCTGTCATTTCTGTACGCTCGCACCCGAAGACACCCACGTACCCATGTATGCATGCACGGATACATCATAATGCATGATCCGTTCTCACTCTCTCCACCTCCAACTCTACGCCATTAATCGATTTTCAAAGAGCCGTCAAAGACGACGCACCCATGCAGGAATGCACGCACGCATGCATGCACTTGCACACACACCAAACGTACTTTCTCTCACTCTCTCCCTCCCAATGCACGTCCACCTCTGCATAACATACTTCTTCGTTCTACTACCCTTTGCCGTTTCATACCCCCCAGTTCCTTTCCTTGTGCCGTAACCCCCACGCCACATCCGCAACCCTCCGATGTCAGGGACATGGCATACAGCAGGCTCTCTGGCCCCGTTTCACAGGTGTTCACCATACCCACTCTTCAAAACATGTGAGTTCTGGCTGAGGCACCTCGCTTCAAGAGTGTCCGAAGTTCCCATCCCACTTGCAGCACATGAGACATCACTGGCCTTATGCCGTCTTACTGGCCTTGGCTCTGGCCGGAGCAGAGCAGCAGGAAGGGAGGCCGCGAGCGAGATTACATGGACAAGAAGTTAATGCTGGTTCTCTGGTTCAAGGGACTGGGGAAGACGACGACCAGTAATGCCGGAGCTAGAGAAGCTAAACACGTTCATGTGACTACATGGTCACCCTGGTTATGGCAATGCCTTGATGCTACCTTATTCCTCTTTCCAGCATGCATGCATTCATGCGTTTGTGCTTTTGTGCCACGCTTACCCATGCTTCGATGCGCACTGCCAGTCTCCCTTTGTCTTGCACTTATGTGGTGTGGTGTGACCGTTTGAAAGTCTCTCTACTTGTAAGCCACATCCTTCCCCGTGTGCCGCTGACTGACCGGCCGAACGATCCAGCTCAAACCCTCTCTGCCCTCCGTAGCATCTCTCATTGGCAACACACCACCGCATGCACCAGTAAACTTTTGCAACAGTAACCTTTTGTGGGTAGAAAGTAGAAACTTTCACCCCACCACTGCTGCAACTCCATGGGCTGCTTGTGTTCTGGCTGACGCTGATGCTACCACATTTGCTTTACGCCCTCTCTTTTCACTCTCCCTCACGCCTCTGCGTCCCTGTCCTTGGTGCGAACGTGCAGGCGCTTTCCCTCCCATCCTCTATCAGTTGTATTGTAACCTATTTCAGCACGTCTTAAAACTCCTCTGCGCACTTACTTGTCATCCTGCAGAAGCGGCCCCACTGGCTGCGCCCTCTTCATGCATGCATACGCACATTCAAGAGCTGCTGAAGCCCCTGTTCTGTTTCTCCCTGTCTCCATACGCACATTCAAGAGCTGCTAAAGCCCCTGTTCTGTTTCTCCCTGTCCCCACACTCTGCCGAAATCTCCATCTAGCCTCCTCTGCCTTGCATCCCCTGCTTAGTCCCCCTCGCCTCCCCCTCTCTGTTGCTCCCTGCCTGCACGCTCTGCCCAAATCCCTGCCTTGCCTCCTCTGCCTTTCCCCCCCCTCCTCTCGCATGCCCCTCGCCTCCCCCTTGCATTGCATGTGCGCGCTATGCAGGGACCTCTCTCGCAACAACCTGACAGGCCCATTGCCTACATCAACGGCCGGGATGGGCGTGCTCACGTGGTTGTGAGTGTTTCTCGCTTTCCTAAACGTCTCTTGCTTCTCTCGTTTCTCCTCTTTTGTGTGCATAAAAACAAGACTTGAATGAAACGATGTGTTTTCTGGAGTGAGTACCTTGCTTATTGGACCAATGGTAGGCACTAGAAAAGAGTGTCTCTCATATCTGTGCATCATGTTCTATGCTTTCTCTTGTAAACTGTTGCTCCCTCCCTCCCTCCCTCTTTCCTTCCCTCCCTCCCTCCCTCCCTCCCTCCCTCCCTCCCTCCCTCCCTCCCTCCCTCCCTCCCTCCCTCCCTCCCTCCCTCCCTCCCTCCCTCCCTCCCTCCCTCCCTCCCACCCTCCCTCCCTCCCTCGCTCCCTCCCTCCCTCCCTCCCTCCCTCCCTCCCTCCCTCCCTCCCTCCCTCCCTCCCTCCCTCCCTCCCTCCCTCCCTCCCTCCCTCTCTCCCTCCCTCCCTCCCTCCCTCCCTCCCTCCCTCCCTCCCTCCCTCCCTCCCTCCCTCCCTCCCTCCCTCCCTCCCTCCCTCCCTCCCTCCCTCCTGTGAAAGTAGCAAATTGAACAAGTCATTAGATTAGAGGAACAACCTAGCATACATAGTTGGAAGGGAAGGTTGGAAGGGAAGGATGAAAGTGACCATAGGTTGGGTTGACCTCACTTGGGGAAGTGAGGGAACCATAGGTCAAGTGGGTTGGGTTGCCCACACTTTGTAGAAGTGAGGCAACCCTAGGCCCACTTGGCTTGGGGTAACCTCAATTGTGGGAAGTGAGGTACCCACAAGTCAAGAGGGTTGCATTTGGGGGCTCCACCACAATTGGGTGGATTGGCACCCCAAAGTGCAAGACTACACCCAAAATTGGGTGTAGTCTTAACCCAATTGTACACCACAATTGGTGTACAGTCACATGTGTTGGCATGCTACACAATATATATTTTAACACAACCCCTTAGCATGCTAACACAAGAAGAGAACAACCCCTGAATCAAGGGGCGCCCGGGCGAGCAAGGCCAATGAGGCGGAGGAAGGCAGAGTGCGCGGGGCGAAGGAGGGCCTTAGTGAAGATGTCGGCCAAGTTGGCCTCGGTTGCAATCTTGCGAACGGCAATGAGGCCCTTCTGGACGAGCTCGCGAACGAAGAAGTAGCGGAGTTCGATGTGCTTGGAGCGGGCGTGATAGACGGGGTCCTGAGTGAGATGGATGGTGCTGGCGTTGTCGCACCAGAGAGTGGGGCACGTCTGGGGGGCGCCAAGCTCCGCAAGAAGGAAGCAGAGCCAGCGCGACTCCTGGGCGGCCATGGTGCCAGCGTAGAGCTCGGCTTCGCAGGTGGAGAGAGAGATGGCGGAGGAGCGGGTGGAGCGCCAGCTGATGAGGCCGCTGCCAAGGGTGAAGCCGTAGCCCTGGGAGGAGCGGCGGTCCGGCTGCGTGTCAGCCCATGAGGAGTCACTGAAGCCCGAGAGAAGGGGACGGGAAGGGCCGCCGAGGGTGAGGGCAAGGTCCCTGGTCCCGCGAAGGTAGCGGAGGACCCGCTTGGCAGCTTTCCAGTGCTCCTCAGAGTGACGACCAGTGCCGACAAAGCGAGCGAGCACGCTGATGGGGTAGGCGAGGTCGGGGCGGGTGCACATCATTGCGTACATCAAGGACCCAACGAGCTCGGCATAGGGGTGGGGGGAGGAGGTGGGGGAGGTGGGTGGAGCGAGTTGGTGACCGAAGGGGAGCGGGGTGGAAACAGGCTTGGCTTGCGCCATGTCGAACTTCTCCAAGACCTGGCCGATGTAATGGGACTGGGAAAGGGTGATTGTGCGAGCAGGGCGGTTGCGCGTGATGGTCATGCCGAGGTAGTGAGTGAGGGCGCCAAGGTCCTTGCACTTGAGCCGCTGCTGCAGGGACAGCTTCACCTGCTCCATGTCGGCCTTGGTGTCAGAGAGCAGGATCATGTCGTCGACATATACCAGAATGAAGAAGCGGCGGGGGGAGGAGCGGATGAAGAGGCTGGCGTCGGAGTGGGAAGCAGAGAAGCCGAGGGACCCCAAGGTGGCAGCCAGCTTCGCATGCCACTCACGCGGTGCCCGCTTCAAGCCGTAGACGGGGCGACGCAGCTGCCAGACAGTGTTCTCAGGAAAGGCTGCGTGGAACCCGGGGGGTCGCCGGAGGAAAATGCGCTCATGCAGGTCGCCCTGCAGGAACGCATTGGAGACGTCTATGGAGTCGATTTCCATGTCGTCACGTGCACCAATGTCCATGGCGGCGCGAAGGGTGGGTGGTTTGGCGGTGGGGGCGTAGGTGAACCAGTAGTCCTCAGCCCAAGTCTGCGTGAACCCCTTGGCGCAGTAGCGGGCCTTGTACACTGGTTCCTCGCCCTGCAGCTGCTTCACCCGAAAGACCCATTTCCCGTCCACGAGGTTGGCGCCGGCTGGGAGGGGGACATCGACAAAGGAGTCGTTGCGAATGAATTCCCCACACTCCAGGAAGATCGCTGCTATCCATTTATCCGCGTCAGGGCAGGTGATGGCTTCCTGGAAGGTGGAGGGAGTGAAGATGGTGGGGGTGGTGGTGGCGCCAAGGACAGGAAAGCCCAGGAAGTCAAGGTAGAGGGAGGCAAGGAACGGAGTGTGCTCCCGAATGTTGAGGAACTCCTCATGGGAGTCCTCAAGGAGCTGAATGGAGGCAGGAGGAGGAGCCCCAAGGATTTTGTCCACCGAGCGGGTATGGATGTAAGGGAGGAGGAAGGGGGAGGAGCGGGAAGTGGCACGGCGCCGCTGCTGCTGCTGGTGCTGCTGAAGCTGCTGCCCTTGTTGTTGCGGCTGCTGCGGACTGTGCTGCTGCTGTGTCTGCTGCTGCTGCTGCTGCTGTCCCGGTTGCTGCTGTTGCGGCTGCCCCGGCTGCTGCTGCTGCTGCTGCTCCGGCTGCTGCTGCTGCTGCTCCGGCTGCTGCTGCTGCTGCTGCCCCGGCTGCCGTTGCTGCTGCTGCTGTTGCCCCTGCTGCCGTTGCTGGTGTTGCTCCGGCTGCTGCTGCTGCTGCCGCGGCTGCTGCTGGTGCTGCTGCTGCCCCTGCTGGTGCTGATCCGGCTGCTGCTGCTGCTGCTGCTGCCCCTGCTGTTGCTGATCCGGCTGCTGGAAAGGAGGAGAATGAGAGGAGGAGGGAGAGGGGGGAGGGGGTGCAGTGGAGTGAGCGGGGGAGGCGGGTGCGGCAGGGTTGTAGACGTCGGCAGAGGAGGAAGGCGGGAGTGGAGCGGCGACAGGTGGGAGGAGAGGCGCTGGAGGGAGAAGAGGCGGGAGGACGGTGTCGGTCCAAGCGAGGGGGCGAGTGGGAGGAGGGAGGGGGTCAGGAGGAGGGGTGGAGTAGTAGGGAGTGGACTCGTCGAAGACGACGTCAATGCTGCGGATGAGGCGATTGGTGGGAGGGTGGAGGAATAGGTAGCCAGGGGAATCACGATTGTGCCCAAGGTAGACACACTCCAGAGCGCGAGGAGCGAGCTTGCCAGCAGCGCGGGAGCGGTCGGCCGGTGGAATGAGGACGAACGCCTTGCAGCCCCAAACACGAAGGCCTGCGGCGTCAGGCTTGGCCTTGGACCAGAGTTCTGTGGGGGAGGAGGAGGGATGCTGAGGGTGGGAGCGGAGATTGAGGAGGAGGGCGGCATGAATGAAAGCATAGCTCCAGAGGGAGGGAGGGGTGGAGGCGTGAGCAATGAGGCAGCGCGCAATCTTGGTGATCTCACGGATGCGACTCTCAGCGATGCCGTTTTGCTGAGGGGAGTGGGGAAGGGTGGAGGTCTGCTGAATGCCGTATGTTTTGCAGTAAGTGGAGAGAGTATGATTGATGAACTCACCCCCACCGTCAGAGTGAAGGCGGCCTATGGGACGTTTGAAGTGGTTGCGGCACTGCTCAGCCCAGTTGATGACCACAGCCGGCACCTGGTCTTTCGTGTGAAGAAAGAAGACGGTGGAGTACCGACTGTGGTCGTCGACGAGCACGAGCATGTACCTGTGCCCCTGACGAGAGCGGATGGGATAAGGGCCCCAGAGATCCATGTGAACAAGGTCAATGGGGGCGGGAGCGAAGGTGGGGTGACTGTGATGGGGGGACTGTTTGAGCTTGCCATGAATGCATGATGGGCATGGGGGAGCAGGGGAGGAGGGGAGGGGAGGTAAGGTGGGAGGAAGGCTGTTAAGGAGGCGAGAGGTGACGGTGGAGCGAAGTGCGGCGAAGTTGGGATGGCCGAGTCTGTGATGTAGGAGCACCGCAGGATGGGAGAGGGCAGTAGAGGAGGAGGGGGATGGGGTGGGGGAAAAGTTGGGGGGGGAGGAGGAGGCGGATGGAGTAGAGGAGGAGGATATCGGAGGGAGAGGGAGAAGGGGAGGGGGAGGGTGAGGGGGAAGAGGAGGGGGAGGGGGAGGGAGAAGGGGACCGGTGGAAGTACCAGCACGAGTGGTGACGTGACAAAAGGAGGGACGGGGTGTGCGGAGCGTGTAAAGGCGAGTGCGAGGGCAAAGGGGAATGCGCAGGAGGAAACGACCAGAGGCGGTGTGGTAGAGATCGCAGTAGGAAGCAAAGCCAGGGTATATGGCGGTAATGTCAACGCCTTGGAGTTCACGGTGGGAGAGGAGGTTATTGCGAAGGGTAGGGATGTGGAGACCGGTGACTGTACCGGATGGGAAGGCGGTGCAAGGAAGGGTGGAGAGGTGAGTGCAGGGGATGGAAAAGCTGGAGTCGGCACCATGAACCTGGGTGGGAAGTGGAAGGGGGGTGAGGGTGCCAGCGTCTTTTAGTGCGGTTTCGGTGGCCCCACTGTCAAGGACAAAGTCCAGGGTGGGGGGGGAAGGAGAGGGAGGGAACACAGAGTACTGGAGAGTTGTTTCATGGATAGAAGAGGGAGAGAGCGGCGGGTGCTGCTGCTGTAAGTACTGTTGCTGCTGCGGCTGCCGCGGTGGGAGAGACTGTGACGGTTGCGGCTGGAGAGATTGGGCTGCTGCTGCTGCTGGAAGCACCGCCGATGCTGCCGCGGTTGCTGCGGCTGGAGAGATTGTGGGGGCTGCTGCTGCTGGAAGCACTGCTGCTGCTGCGGATGGAGAGAACTGTGGCTGGTGCTGCTGCTGGAAGCACTGCTGCTGCTGCGGCTGAAGAAACTGTGGCTGCCGCTGCTGCTGGAAGGACTGCTGCTGCTGCGGCGGAAGGAACTGTGGCAGCTGCTGCTGCTGGAAGCACTGCTGCTGCTGCGGCTGGAGAGACTGTGGCTGCTGCTGCTGCAGGAAGGACTGCTGCTGCTGCGGTGGAAGGAACTGTGGCAGCTGCTGCTGCTGGAAGGACTGCCGCTGCTGCGGCTGGAAGGACTGCTGCTGCTGGGGATGGAGAAACTGTGGCGGGTGAGGCTGGAGAGATTGCGGCTGCTGTTGGTGTTGGAAGAACTGCTGCTGCTGCGATTGCCGCGGCTGGAGGAGATGTGGGGGGTGCGGCTGGAGAAATTGTGGTTGCTGCCGCTGCTGGAAGTCCTGCTGCTGCTGATGCTGGAGCTGCTGGAAACGCCGCAGATGGGGAGGGGGGGAGGGGGTGAGCAGGCGGAGATAAGGGGGGGGGGAGGAGTGGAGGGTCGGAGTGTTGAGAAGGGAGGGGCGAGGAGTAACACTGCTCCAGTGAGGAGGGGGGAGAGGGGCAGGGGGGGTAGCAGTCATGATGGGCGACGGCGGGTGGACCCGCGGCGGCCAAGGGTGAAGTTGCTGCTGCGGAGGCTGCTGCACTTCCCCTGCTGCCGCTGCTGCTGCCGCTGGCAGGAGGAGGGAGGGGGGGGGGGGGGGGGGGGGGGGTAAAGGAGGGAGACAGCGGTGGAGGGCAGAGGCGTTCAAGGTGCAGGGAGCGACGGTGACAAGGGCGCAGGCGGCTGTGCGAACGTGCGGCGGCGGGAAGGGGAGGCGGTGGCAAAGTCGGGGGCGGCGGCGGCGAGCAGGCCGCGACGACGAGGGGCGCAGGCGACGGCGGAAGGGCCGCGGCGGCGAAACGAGGGACGGCGGCGGCAGGCAGGCCGCGGCAACGAGGGGCGCAGGGGGAGGGGGAGGGGGGGGGAGAGGAGTAGGGAGAGGAGGAAGGGAGGGTGCAGTTGCGGCTGAATCTGCAGGCGGCGACGGGGCAGTCACGGCGGCAGGAAGTGTGGGCGGGGATGGCGCGGTCGCGGTGGAGGATGGGCAGGCGGCGCCGAAGCAGTCGCGGCGGTAGGGCGGCGGCGGCGCAGTGGCGTTAACGGGAACCGCGGGGCGACGATGTTGCAGTTGCGGCGGGGGAAATTGCGGGAGGGTGGCGATGCAGAAGGGGCAGCGAGATGCGTGGGTGACGCGGAAGCAGGTGCGGCGGTGGGAGGGGAGGCGGCAATGCGAAATCGCGGTGGGGGGGGGGGGGGGGGGGGGGGGGGGGGGGGGGGGGGGGGGGGGGGGGGGGGGGGGGGGGGGGGGGGGGGGGGGGGGGGTGGGGGCGGGGAGGTGACGACGAGCAGTCGCGGCGGCGGAATGCGCAGGCGGCGATGTTAGGTCGCGGCGGCGGGACGGGCAGGGGGCGACGAGCTGTCGCGGCGGCGGGACGGGCAGACGGCGCCGAAGCAGGCGCGGCGGCGGGAAGGGGAGGCGGCGACGTGACGTCGCGGCGGAGGGACGGGCAGGCGGCGACGAGGCGTCGCGGCGGCGGGATGCGCAGGCGGCGCCGAAGCAGGCGCGGCGGCAGGAACGCGGCGACGAGACGTCGCGGCGGAGGGACGGGCAGGCGGCGACGAGGTGTCGCGGCGGCAGGATGCGCAGGCGGCGCCGTAGCAGGCGCGGCGGCGGGAACGCGGCGACGAGACGTCGCGGCGGAGGGACGGGCAGGCGGCGACGAGGCGTCGCGGCGGCAGGATGCGCAGGCGGCGCCGAAGCAGGCGCGGCGGCGGGAACGCGGCGACGAGACGTCGCGGCGGAGGGACGGGCAGGCGGCGACGAGGCGTCGCGGCGGCAGGATGCGCAGGCGGCGCCGTAGCAGGCGCGGCGGCGGGAACGCGGCGACGTGACGTCGCGGCGGAGGGACGGGCAGCGGGCAGGCGGCGACGAGGCGTCGCGGCGGCAGGATGCGCAGGCGGCGCCGAATCAGGCGCGGCGGCGAGAAGGGGAGGCGGCGACAGGGGGTCGCGGCGGGGGGGAGGAGGGGACAGCGGCGTTGCGCTCGCGGCGGTGGAATCCGCAGGCGAGGAAGGCGTAATCGCGGCGGGAGGGGGGGGGGAACGGCGGCGACGGCGTAGGTCGCGGCGAGAGTATGCTAGTGATGGCTAGTTGAGCCACGCGTAGGAAAGGGTTTGTAGCTGTGGGGTGGGCCCATGGGAAAAAAAAAAACTGAAGGGAGGGAGAGGTAAGGCCTAGGAACAAGTAGCTCTATACCATGTGAAAGTAGGAAATTGAACAAGTCATTAGATTAGAGGAACAACCTAGCATACATAGTTGGAAGGGAAGGTTGGAAGGGAAGGATGAAAGTGACCATAGGTTGGGTTGACCTCACTTGGGGAAGTGAGGGAACCATAGGTCAAGTGGGTTGGGTTGCCCACACTTTGTAGAAGTGAGGCAACCCTAGGCCCACTTGGCTTGGGGTAACCTCAATTGTGGGAAGTGAGGTACCCACAAGTCAAGAGGGTTGCATTTGGGGGCTCCACCACAATTGGGTGGATTGGCACCCCAAAGTGCAAGACTACACCCAAAGTTGGGTGTAGTCCCAACCCAACTGTACACCACAATTGGTGTACAGTCACATGTGTTGGCATGCTACACAATATATATTTTAACACCTCCCTCCCTCCCTCCCTCCCTCCCTCCCTCCCTCCCTCCCTCCCTCCCTCCCTCCCTCCCTCCCTCCCTCCCTCCCTCCCTCCCTCCCTCCCTCCCGCCCGCCCGCCCTCCCTCCCTCCCTCCCTCCCTCCCTCCCTCCCTCCCTCCCTCTGTTCTCTCAGGCAACTGGCATCAAATCGTCTAACTGGCACAGTTCCATTGATTGAGTTCCCCAATTTCCTCCAAGCACTGTACGTGTGGTGCACAATGCTGGTCGCAATGCAATGCTGGGCTCCGGGCTTGTGTCATCTCGTATCGCCCTCGCATTGCGCTAACGATCTCACGCCTCTGCATTTCCATCAGTGAAAGGCCCGTCCCACTGAACCCTTCCTCTTAAACCTCGCCTCCCATCTTCCGCTGCATCCCTTCCGCTGCTCTCTGGCTGGCAGTCAGGAGATGCCAGCATGCCAGCATTAACCTTTCCGGCCCATACGATTTGATATGTCCCCCTTTGTTGTGTTGTGTATCCTCCCATAACCACCTGATCTCAGGTTGTCCAATTTCTGTCCCTTCGATTCCATTTTGACGCAAACATATTTTGCCCATGCCCATTTTCTCCGACCTTTTGTGCTTTGATTTCTGTGCCGCGCGCGTGCCTGCCCTACAGGGACCTATCTAACAACGAAATCACGGGCCGTATGCCTGCCACGTTTTCCGGCGCCCCAAGTCTTAAGTCCATGTGAGCAGCGCGCGCGTGTGTGCGTGCTCTTTTTTCTTTTCCTTATTTGTATGCTTTTTATATGACAATAATGTTCTTGCGTGTTGGAACACACTACACACACGTACACCTGCACTAACAGTCTTCTGCTTAAAAGGTTTCTCCTCCCAATATGCCTTCCTCCCAATGTGCCCTCCTCCCAATATGCCCGGTTGCCACAGAAACCTCGCAAACAACAAGATCACGGGGACCATCCCTGCCACTTTGAGCGAGCTTGAAGATCTCACTGAACTGTTAGTGAGCACGCGCTTGCAACTGCAAGCACAGCACACATAGCTTGTACTGCGCTGATTGGTTCACCAGTTTTACCTCGGGTGGTGCAAGAGTTATGCTTGGATGGGGCATCATTTCAACTCTCTGTGATTCCAACAAGACAATTCCTAAGTCTTTTTTTTTTTCTACAAACGAGAGTACAGTTGCTATCTCTCTCTCCCTCTTTCACATTCATCTCCAAGGTCAGTGCCATCATGCACGCTCTTTTCCTTTCATATGTCCCGTGCCCCAACTGTTTTTGCCGTCCCGTGCCCCAACTGTTTTTCCCGTCCCGTGCCCCATCTGCTTGTCTCGTCCCATTGCCCCATTCACTTCAGATTCCTGTCAGGAAACCAGCTCTATGGCTCCATACCAGAAGATCTCACAGCCATTCCATCCCTTTACACGCTGTGAGCACCTTTTCAGGACATCTCATAGCAGTCTTTGAGAGTTGTCAGCGACAGGTCACAGCACGCTGTCTGTGACTTCTCAGATTCCTAGCAAGATGACTTGGCACTTCACTCTTCTCCACGTCCTGACTCATGCAGTGCATGTTTCATCTTTCAGTTGTGTTCTGGTTACGATCACACCACTTGCTGTGCTCTAAATGCTGCGACGGCCATGCTCTTACTTACAACGGGTCCTCCAACTGACTCGGCCCAGAGATTTTCTAACTGGATCTGGTCGCTCTTCTGGTGGGCACGACACGACCAGCTCGACATGACCCGACCCGAACCAACCTGACTTTCGGGTCGGGATTTGCCAGCGGGTCGAAAAAACCCGACCCCGGATTGTGCCGACCTGGCCCGTTTGAGCCAGGTTGGTTAAGGCGAATCCCCAGGTTGGCAGACGACTGTAGTTGACCCAGCCTGGGTAAGACTGGGTCGGATCGGGTTGGGTCGGGTCAACCCTTGTCCTGTCCTCATGCGTAGCCTACTTGTGCGGACATCCACTCTCCCTCCACCCACTTACCTCTCCCACAGGCCACGTCTCTCCCACCCGCTGTTCTCGCAGAGACGTGGCACGCAATTACCTCACGGGGCCCATTCTGAATCCTGCCAGCATGCCAGAGTATGCCTACTATGACTACAGCAGCAACTACCTCTCGGGAGGCCTGCAAGAATCCGACTGCTCGCTGGACTCCATGCGTCTCGGCGCCAACTGCTTTTCCATTCCATCGGCAGCAGCAGCAGCAGCGGGCTCGTGCAAAGGTGCTGAGCAGCGGCCGGCAGCAGTGTGTGAGGCGTTCTGTGGGATTGCCAACAGCACCACGCCTGCTTGCGGGGGCCTGGGAGTGTGCCACCCGGACGGTCCGAATCTTGTTCCCACGTGCCTGTGTCACGATGGGTTCGTGGAGGATGGAGGGATCTACTGCATCGCTGCGGGTACGTGCGTGTAGTGAAGAGGAGTACTATGCATGGCCGCATTCTTTCTGACAGAACTGCTTGCCATGTCGTGACAATCTGCTTCTCCAACGCGCTACTCTTCTTCCTCTCCTTGTGTTGCCGCATCCCCCTTGCTGCTGCAGGCTCGCTCCGAAACGGTGACGTGGTGGAGCCGACTGTTCTCACCAAGGGCACAGCAGCAGAGACAGGCAGTGTATTCACTGCCGACCCTCTCGTGCTCTTCTCGTACGATTCTGTCAAGGAGGGCTGTGGCACCCAGCTGCAGTTCCAAGCCAACTTCACCTTCTTCATGTTCCCCACTGCTGCTGCTGCTTCTGCGAGCAACCCCGATCGCCAGGGGGCCAACGGGCTGGCGTTTGTGATTTCCGCGACGAACGCAGCAGGATCTGGCGGGGAGGGGGGAGGGGTGGGGTACGCTGGCATGGACGCTCGGAGCATAGCCGTAGAGTTTGACACGTTCACAGATGCAGCGCATGGGGACATGCCCGGCCACCACGTGGGGCTCAACATTGGCGGCAGCGCCACTTCCGTCAAGGCCGTCCGTGCTCCCTTCCCACTCAACGGCCGCAATGCGTACACAGCATGGATTGACTACAAACCGGGAAGCCCAGGAACTCTGAGGGTGTATCTCGCTCGGGATGATATCAAACCTGGCGTGCCTCTACTGGAGAGCCCTCTGTCGCTGTGTGACGTGCTGCAGCCAACTGCTGCTGAACCGTCCTTCTACTTTGGGTTTGTGGCGTCTACCGTGGCCCCTTACCTTCAACAGCACGCCATCCTGGTGTCTCTCATTCGAACAGGTGAGGAAAGCTTTTCAGGGAATGTTCTTTTCTGGGCACAGCAACGCAATTTGCGATGTTTTAGGCTTCCAAATCAAGCAGACACCCGAGGCTTGTCGGTGGACCATGCCATGCCATGCCATGCCATGTTGTGCCCCAGATTGTGCTGCTTCCTTGCTGTGATTTCCACCTGCTGCACTTACTCACCTGCACAAATTGGGTCCCTTCTTAGACGCCATGCCAGAAAACCCTGGCTCTTAAACAAATCCCTGTTCCACCCAGTCTCTCGTCTTCCAATCTTTGTCCTTTTCTTCCACTTTGCCTGCTGTCTTTTGTCCGCACCGCAGGGTTTTCGGTTTCCGCAAAGCCCAGTACAGTATCCATCGTTCCAGGTATGTTGCGCTGTCTTGTACTCCCTTACTCAGCGGAATCTATTGCCCTTTCTCCCTCTTTCTCTCAGCCTCTTAGCTTTCTACGTCCCACCCAGAATGGCAGAGAAAAACAAAAACAAAACAAACTCACTCCTTAACCTGCCCTCTCTTCCTACCCACTACCGTTCGATTCTCCACTGCCTATCTCATCCTTCCTTGCCTGCATCCACCTTTTCCCCCATATGCATCCTTCGCACATGCTCATCTGCTTTACGTGTGCGCGCCCGCCAGCCTATGGACTAACGGTGTCGGCAGCAACGTTCCGCCCGGCTCGGGCGAGTCCGTTCACGCGGTACGTGAGTGCGTCGTACACTCTCACGCAGTCGGGGCAGCAGGACGCCTGGCTCCTCCGCGACCCCTCCTCCTGGGATGTGCCGTGGCTCTCCTGGCCCGTCAAGGACCAGGACGCCTGCAGTGAGTGCCGTGGGGACGAGGGTGGATGGGTGGTGGGAGGGAGGAGTGGAGGGGGAATGAACCGAAGCTTCTGGTTGCAAAAGCAGTGCACTGTGCTCCATTCCCCTGCGTTCTCCCTCGTACATCTT